ATTTTTATCTTAATTATTTCATTTATTTTTAACATTATTTGATAGTATTACAAAAAAAAGCTAAAAACTTGAAATAAAATATTACTGTCTGCTCAAAAAAGATCTAAATCTTCTAACATATACATATATGAAGTATATATCTTTTAGTTAATCAACGATCTTCCACAGCCATATTTTGTATTTTAATGAAGATTTCGGCTGCTGATAGAGTTTTTGGAAGTCATTGTACATTGTAAAATACCTAGAACTTCTACTAAATCTCTGTCAGTTAATTTTCGATCTGACAGACGATGATCTACCAGAAACATTTTTTATATTTTTATGAGAGTTTCTGGTGTTTATATTGCTGTGGACGACATCGTTACTAATTTTTATAGTTTCTACTACTTTTTTGATGTCGCAGAACCTAATGAAACACCTAGTACTACTACTAAATCTCTGTCCATCAATCGACTATCTTTCGCAACTATTTTTTTGAGACTTTTTTCCCAAAAAAATTGTGGAAAAATCTTTTATAGCTAAATTTTGTATTTTTACGAAGATTTCTGGTATTGATATTATTCTTGGACGACCTTTACGTGGACCGTTGTCAAAACTTGTATTTCAAAATTATTTCCTTGTAAAATAGAACATATTTATTATTTTGATAAGATTTTCCATTGCTTTTAATCCTTCGCCTACAAAGAATTTTATTTTTTCAATTATTAATAAATACACTGACATGTCAATTTTAAATTGTTTGTAAAGTAAAAAAGAATTGCCAGATATAAATAAAATTTCGACTGTATTCCTCTTTAACATGAATTATTATGATGAGATTAAAGTTTGAGTGATAGTATTGATGATGTATATGTCTCTGAGAATTTATTGAAGAATTCAATAAAGTTTATACTATATCATTGCTAGAAGAGAAAAGGGAGAGAGAGAAGAAGGAAAAATAGTAAAACAGAAAAAAATGTGCTGAATGAGAAAGTAAAAGTAAACGATGGAGAGAACAATTCTTTTAAATATACAAATAATTTTGTTTTTTATAATATTTTAATTTGAAATTTAAACTAATATTTAATGAATTCATCCTGTTTTAAGAAAAAAGATGAGAGTGAGAAGAGAAAAATAGAGTATGACAGTAATAGATGTGCTGAGAGAAAAAGTGAAGGATGAGTAGAAAAATTGTTGTTAAAAGTTTTGCACACCAACTGCATAAAATTTCTAAAGCTAATGCCTTCTTTCAAAATTTTTAAATATATAATTACTTACTAACTGAAATTTTAAGAAAATCGTAGTGAACAATATATAATATCCACATAGTATAAAACTACCGATATGTTAGCAGCGATTATAGATGATAATAACAATAGAATATCCATTCTGGGAGCACTGTATCTTGTATGCTCGATTACATATTTGTTAGACTCTATGTGACTCTGATAAAGATCTTTAGTATCCATTTCAAAACGATTTTACACATATTAGGGTTTTTGAAATGCATGTTTTTTCGATTTTAGTTTCCTCTAATATACAATTTTTGTCGTTTCTCGGACTGTGGGTACACTTCCCGAAGTTGAAGCACAATAGAAGAATATACGCTGTATTATTATTATCTATAGTTAATATTATATAGTATTATTATCTGTATTATTATACAGATTATTATTTGTAGTATTAGAATCTTCTTTTTATTAACTGTATTTATTTGTTTTTTATCGCTTTCTTTTGTTTTGTATTACTCTAAATAATATAAAATATATGTGAATACAAACACTTATTTAATTTATTTTTTACAAAAATTAAAGTATATTATAATATATTGGGACTTGACGTATGACTGTATACTTTATACAATACATATCAAAATATATAAATATTTGTTTTACTGAACGTTATTATCTTTGTTTAATGAAACTAAAACCTAATATTACTTACTTTTACTTTTATTTACTTAATAGCATTACACTTTCTTTTCATTGATAAGGATTCATAAATATTTTTGCTAATAAAATAACAAATAATTTTAATAATTTACAATCATTCATTTTACAATAAATAACATTAATGAAATAACTAATATTTCACAAAAATCCAAAATTCTGTCCATCCTTTCCCATAGCTACACGTGCGAATTCAAAGCATAAATCCAGACTTCCACTAAACTCTGAATGCAAATTTATCAACTTCTGAAAATATAGACGGCGACCATCAAAGTTGTAGGTATGGAATAATGTGAAGTTGGTATGAATAAAATGGTAATATACTTGTGTATATATATACATATTTAACAAATTATGCAAATTTCGCTAAGAAGCTAGGGAATAGCTCTACTCCGATACCATTCTCGACTAGGCTGTGTTAAGCGACTGATTTGTCTGTCCAACGTTGTAAATGGCAGTTCGTTGTATACTCTACACTTTACACTCCACTCTTAGTCGACTTCACACTTACTTAACCTTAAAGTATTCGCAGCGATTTCCCATACTGAAATTTCACTTAGCAGTAAAGGATTCGAAAAATATCACAGCGCTGCGTGGCGGCATTTATAAATATTTTCGCATAATTTTTTATTTTCTTTCGCATTTGTTTGTCTGGGTAATCTCAAATACTACAAGGACATGAGTGCCCTTTTTTGAAACTAATAGCAGAACTAAACGATTTGATGGACCAGAAAAATGTTGACTTCATCTACTACGTCTTTTGCTGGTTTTTGACATGACTCCAACACGACTGTCTGCATTCGTTTGCGGTATTCTTTCGTCCTTCCTCAGTTTGTATGATGATTACTGTGAAGTGGGGTGTCTGCATTAAAGGGAATCAAGGGATGAATTGACTGGAATGGATTTTTCCTTTGCAAATATTGTTAAATCCTTTTATTGAGTATTGCATACTTTTGTTGGCCTTCAGTTCGAGTGTGAGTTGATAGTAAAAATAGTTCTAAACAAGTATGTTTAATTTTTTATGCTATTGTGGTATAAAAAATGTTTTATATGCATATACATACAAATTTACATATTATATATATGTACTATTTTTATATCTCTTGTTACTGTTCGGTCATGTGATTAACTTTTAGCATTCAACAAACAAATCGGTTAAATGTTTTGGAAGATAATCTAATTTGGTCACTTATATGCAAAATGTGTTTATTATTTGCTATTATGTTTCTTAGTCGTTTTTTTATGAATTCCTGAATTCCAAATAAAAACAATAAAAAAAAATTAAATGATTTATTCACTGATAAAGAGTGGGGTTTACAGTTTTATTCTTGAAAAAAAATAAAACAACCACTTGTATTAAAGTAGTAAAAATATTATAATGTGAAATGTTGTTATATATAATAATAATAATAATTTGATTTTACAAAAAGTTTAAAAAAAATTAATCAAAAAACCAGAACATTTGAATGGACTTCTAATGTTATATATATATAAGGGTAATATAATGCCGACAGTGAATTGACGAATGCTCAAGCCAGTTTTGGGCTCCTTCTACTCATGACCATGAAGACATATAATGCAGAGCGTCAAATCTCAATTGGGAATTTCTACAATTACTACTACTTTAATATTTTTTTAGGTTGTCCATAAATTTAAAAGATAACCTTATTGCAGAAATAAGGTAAAGATAACGTAAAGATAACCTTACGTATGTGAATACAGATATTTGCTCCTAAAAACTAAAAATTCTGAGCAAATATCACTGAGTAAAACTGTTTTTATCACCGTAACAAAACACAGAAAGTCTTGACATCGTGACTAATAGTGAAATAAAATTTTTCTCACTTTCTCTTTTTTAATTTACATTAAAACTATAATAATAACATTTTTCATGACCATGACTCTTTGTATAATATGGCCCTAAAGGGACTATGTAGGCCGCCTATTAAGTCTGGCGCGTAGACAGTATTCTCAGATGAATTTTAACATTTCTGTTTAAAAGTTTGAGATTTTTTAGCATAAATATCATTACGATGTTTTAATTTACGCGCTCTTATTGCGTTTTTGTCATCGATTCTAAATTATGTCTCTAAGAAAAAATGGAATTAAATAATAAACATTTTCGTACGATGATTCTTTACAATTAACCAATTAACCAGAAAAGAACACATCGGTCAACTTAGTTCGACATTCGGTGCTAACTAACAAACCTTTCAAACTAACCTATAATTTAATATCCTTAAAATCGATAAGACTTCTGATACTTAAATTTTGATAAACTTAAATACCTGGACAAGTTTGGAAACAGTATTTTTTTCGTGGACACCACACAAATTAAAAAACATTTTTTTTATTTGATAAATAAGCTTTTTGCCTCTTCAGGCACAGAAGATAACCATCGAAATTTATATAAAATGTATAGTTAAATAAAACCAATGTTTTTTATGTTTATTTAAATAAAAATAAAATTGACCTAATAGCTTAAAGAACTCTATCCCTTCTTGTGAATGAAGAGATAACTCTATTGGGAAGGACAATCAAGACTACAGCATTCTAAAATACTTTTAGGGACGTACAACCTAAAACGCTTCAAGGACTGCATAGAACAAACAGATATAACCTAAGAATTATTACAGGATTACTAACCGGTCATTGTAGATTGAATAATCACCTAACAAAGTCACATATCCAATCCAACTTAGACTGCAGATACCTCAGAGAAGAGAGAGAGAAACTGCATACCATTTGCTAGGGAAGTATCCGGTACAGATGGACAAGCGGAAGAAATATCTAGGAGTGTATTTCATGGATCATAAGGATTCGAGACTAGAAAAGATAGGCTCTATACTATCTTTCATAAAAGAAATCGGACTTGGAGAAACACTCTAATCCGAATAGGGAACAAAATAGACCTTTTACATCGCAGTATACTATTTCTTTTTTATGAGAATAATAATAATAATTATAATAGTCCGTAAAAAAGCCTTAAAATAAAGTTAATTTTTTTACATTAAAATTAACAATCTTTTTAAATTTTTTTAATTTTCAAATAAATATTTATTATATTTTTAGGTTTGGTTTCAAAATCGTCGGGCTAAATGGCGTAAAACTGAAAAATGCTGGGGACGCAGTACGATTATGGCAGAATATGGTCTTTATGGTGCTATGGTGCGACATTCATTGCCACTACCGGAAACTATAATCAAATCAGCCAAAGATAACGATTCAGTGGCACCGTGGCTTCTAGGTATGGAGAACAAAAGTAAATGCAATAAAAGTATCACCAAATTTATTTAAATTATTTGAAATAATTTCTAATTAGTATTACTAATATATTACATATTATAATATTAAAGTATTAAGAGTATATTCAATAGAAAAAAATTACGAGACAATCATTTCCAAAAACCAAAGTTAGAAAAGTTAAGAGGAAATAATTGTGAACATATTTGAAGTACATGACTTATTCCATAGCTAACTACTTTCCAAGTCATATGTTGTATAACTCTAATAATCAAAAAAGAGGAGCTATTTAGAAAAGTACGAGTATCTACACCCTCAGTAAAAGTGAAAGACGAACTCAAACCCAACGTAACCCATAAAACTCTTGCCAACCACAAAGGAACTTGTACAGAAATGACTTTGTGGATTTGCAGCTACACGTACAGATACGAACGAGGGGTGCAAATAATATTATTGTCCGCTGCTCGGAAGGGAAGAAGATAAACGATTTTTATATCTTTTACTTGTGCGGTACTATTATTTATACCCTCCGCATTCTTTTGTTGTTAATAATCGTTTAATAAATGCAAAATAGAAAAATGCTTCACTCTGACTCAGATACAACAAACCGATCAAATGGAATTTTATGGATTTCTCAGTATACACCATTAGTGTTGTTGTTGTCCTTGTCGTTGTTGTTGTTGTTGTCAGTATTATTGTCATAGATGATGATGAGCTCTTTGTACAGTCCTTATCATAAAATAGTTTGGGTGTTACAAGCAAATTAATTTTTCAATAATAGCAACCTCTCTGACTCTACTATGGGTTTGTTAATTTTAAGTGGCTTAAAGCGGATTAAGTCAGAGCAATGCGTACCAAATTAACTGCCGTCAATAGAATTTTAATAAAACAAATAAATTAGATTAATGGACTTAAGTCAACAAAGAAAAAAATTTAATAAAAAAGGAATATGAGAAGAATTAGTAAGAGTAATATGAAAAGATAAAAGAGTTATTGTTGACATATGTTTGAACAAAATTATTCCTTTTAGTAATGTCAACGTAAGTGTAGATTTAAAACGTGTAGAATTCAAGAAGTCAAATGTTCACATATTTTAGAGTTAATGTTCTACATTTAATTAAGTACTTTAAAACTTTTAAATAATATATTTTTAAAATTTAAGCTGACATTTATTCAAAATTTAACTCACAGGCATGCATCGTAAATCATTAGAAGCACAAGATGCTTTGAAAGATGATTCTGGTGTCAGTGATCACGAAGACTCTGCTGGCTCGAAATCGAATGACGAAAATCGTCGCTTAAGCTCTTCAACTGAATCATTAAATGTTGTTAGCCCAGGACCGCAAATATTGCATCATAATTCTTCTAGTGCTACAACACCAACTGCTACCTCCTCGTCTTCACCACATACGCCACACATCGATCTTAGTAGTCCTTCACCAACCTCACAACAACAAATGCAGCAAACTTTACATTCACATTCTACGCAATCATCACACCAAACCCCGCAACACCATAATATTCATCACTTTCAGCATACATCATTACCTCCACCTAATGCACATCCTTCGTATCATCCATTGTTGGATGCAGCAAATGCAAGCGCTGGTGCTGCATCAAGTAAGGAATTTCATATGATTATGAATACCGCTGTAGCCGCAGCAGCAGCTGCTGCTGCTGGTGGTCATCATTCTGCTCATGGAACTAGTGGTGGTCCATATACACATGAACAATCGGATCCCGATGCATTTAGGTGGGTGCATGCAAACACCAATGGAATTGAATATGATAAAGAACGATTTTCAACAATACGGTGATTTCATTTTATTTAATTTTATTTAGAAATCATTTAGTGTTAAGAATTTAAAAATTGTGTTTATATATATGAACATTTATTTATAACAATTTGATTATAAAAATTTTTAAATTTAGATTTAAATTGTAATAATGCTCTTTGATCACAAAGCACACAAATAATTGTAGATGATAAAATTATTATGAAAGGAATTTACAATTAAAATGTTTGGCAAAAAATATATTTCAAATTTACAGGGGAGAACAATATTAATAAGAAAATTCAAATCCATTGATTTGACCCATATTAATCAGAAAAAATAATTTTATGCGGGGACTCAACATTATCGTTTTGGCAATCTGAAAACCAATCAAAAAAGTTTCAATGCTGTAAATGGCTACGATCTTTCATTTCTTTAAATAGAACAGTTTTCTTTGATATAATTGTTGGGTTGGCTTGACAACTTCGGCGGAAAAAGAAGGTTATGGAGACAGGGCGTAAGCAGATATTTTTGAGAATTAAAAAAAAACACTTAAGCAAAAATAAATAACTAAGACTTTGTAACAATTATTTATCACTTAAGATTATTTTATTCATATTCATTATTTTATTCATAAAATAATCTTCTTTCAGAGATGTTTAAATAACCCTATATATATATCATAGCAGTTTCAAGAAATACTTTCTACAAAAATTTGACATAGATTTATAGAAACTTTTCAGTTTTCATAATGAATTATTCCGAAACTATTCTTTTGTCCTTTTTTAGATATTAGTTTTATTGAAAAATTTTAATATACTTTCGATATGCCTTTGAGTTTTGTCTTGTGGATATTGTATCTATATTCGCTTTTTATTATTATGTTGAGGCTAGTTGAGTCAGTGCACTTGAGCACTTTTACAGTCTTTTAACTGCGACGTTTGTTCATAAATCTAGGCCTTGATTGGATTATTGTTTATAACTTCATCAGACTAAGTAATAATTGACTTCAGATCTACATACTACGCCGAGAAGCCTATAGCCATTCTGTGATTCGATAACGCGGTATTAGTAAGCCAATTCACCAAAAAATTAATACGGTTAGAAACTTGATTAGCAGAGTTACAAGTCTCAGTGATGACAAGTTTATGGATGATAACAAGAAACAAATTAGACAGATACTTATGAATAATAATTATCCTAAGTATTTTATAAATTAAATCTTTCTGTCCTATAAATGCACAAAAACATCAAAAAATACAGTTGACAATGTCAATAACAATAAACCTAGATGTAAGTTCCCTAATATACCGGGACTCTCTCAAAAAATATCAAAATTATTTAAACAAGAGGAAATAATTGATATTGTACTTTACAACTTGAAAACAACAGGAAATTTATTCTCAAAGATTAAAGACAAAGAAAAGAAAGAAAATTTGTCAAATCTTATATATAAGATCAATTGTAATGATTGCAATAGAGCTTATATAGGAACAACCAAACAAAGATTGGCAAAAAGAGTTGGTGAACATAAAAGTACGTGTAAACGTAAAGATGATGGGAAAAAAACAGCTCTTTCTGAACATTCTATTTCTAAAGGACATAGTTTTAACTTTGATGAAGTAATAATTCTGGAAATTGAAAATAATTATCATAAAAGATTAATGAGTGAAGTTATTCACATCATATTAAATAATGAACAGGTGGTAAACTACAAGAGAGACACGGATAATTTTAGCACACTTTACTCTAATTTATTGGATAAATACAAGCTAATCAAAAATAAGAGATAAATGAAAATAAAAGTCAGCTGTTAAGTTTCTTCTTATTGAGTAATAAGAGATATAAAAAAGAGAACGTTTATTATTATCAATATTTTTGGCGGAATATTAATATTAAAAAAATTTTTTAGTTTTGTTATGCTCGTTATTTATGTCCAAAAATTGTTTATTAATTTTTAATGTGTGAATTTTAATTGTTTTAATTTTTTATTTTTATTTGTTAATACAATTTTAATTATTAATGACTATTGTGGAACAGGAAAATTATTGCATTTTATAAAAAATAAGGTATATATATTTGGATGTTAGTATTTTATCTTGAAATTAATGTTTGTTATTATATAGCACTGATGAAGTTCTTAATAAAGAACGAAATATTTGCCAACATTTTTAAATAAATGCGTTTAATTGTTCGGGTCTGTAAGCTGATAAAAATCAAAATACAAAACAAAAAAATTAGTAAGCCTGTCAGTTTTCGTCAATAATTTCATGGTTCTGTCCTTTATATATTTTTTGATGCATCAATCTTGAGATCCCTGAGGATGTCATTCATTCTAATGTACCATGGTACCTTGAAAAGCCTTCTCAGAGCCTGGCTTTGTGCAATTTGCTTTTTAGTATATTAAAATTTTAAAATATTTTTATATATATAGCGAGTATCTATTATACTATCTAAACTTAAAGTTTGATTGAAATGGCAAAAAAAAAATAAATCATTAGATAAAATCAATAGTAAAAAATTAAATTTTAAAAAATAGATTTAAATAAATAAATTAAATTTAAATAAATTTTTAGTGAATATTAATAATAATTAATAATTAATAATAATATTAATAATCCAAAAAATATTTTCAACATTAAAAGAAAATAATTTTTTATTATTTTCTTTTGGTGGAAAATAATAAATTATTTATTTAACAAATTAAGCTATCTTCAAAAATTAACTTATTAATTGTAATTATAGTTTAAATTTTTAAAACGAATTAAAAAAAATTTTTTTTCTTAAAAAACTATAAGAATTTGTATTTGAATTTTATTACATATTTCTGTCATTTATACTTAATAATATATTTATTTTATCTATTTAATAGAAACAATTCCATTGCCTGTTTACGTGCCAAAGCGCAAGAACATCAAGCACGTCTGCTTAACAGTGGCCTATTCTTGCAGGTACGTTCTTTTGCTGGCCTACAAAATTCAACATTGAACTCACCAAGCCACACTGCATTAATTAATAATAGCACAACAAACAACAACAACAACAGCAACAGCATCAACAACAATAATTGTGATATGAAAATTAATTGCAATAACAATAATGAAGAGCGTTGCCCACCCAACGCTGTAACCATGTGCGCCAATTCTAATAGCAAAAATAACAACAACAATAATGATTTGTGCTTTGCAAATGGCGTACAAACATCACAACAACAACAACAGCAACAACCACAACAACAATTTAAAATGGAGCCCATTTCGAGTCAAACATGCGGCGAACTTTGATATTAAAGCTAAAAACAAAAAGCAAAGCAAAGTCAAACAAAGTAAAACAAAATCAAGCAAAAGAAAGCAAAGCAAAGCCAAATAAAGTAAATTAAATGCAAATAAAAGAAAGCAAAGCAGGTATCAAAGAGGCAAAAAGAATTTTGAAACGAATTTATATTTACTTATTAATTAAAAGTAAATAAAAAATAAAATGATTTTAATTTGTAAAACAAAAAATAAAAATAATTTCAATTTTTAATAATAAAAAAAATAACAAAAAAAATTTTTAATTCAGATAATATTGAATGATCTCAAAACAAAAGCCAAAATCAGACATAAAATGTCAAATAAAATGTCAAAAAAGAAAGTCAAAATCCAAAAGTTTTTAATTATTTAAAAACTGTAAAAATTAAATTTAAGAAATAATTTGTTTAAATAAAATATATTATTAAAAAAAAAATAATTTAACTATTAATATAATATTAATAATAATATAATATTTAAACTAAGCACACTTAATAAACTTTTTGCATTCTATATTAATTAAAATTTATTTTTATAGAATTCTTAAGAATATCGCTAATAAGTTATTAAAATTAATTATCTATTATAATTAATAATTTATTATATCTTTTATAAATAGTTTTTCTGCAATTAAAATACATAAATTCTTTCTATATCTTCAATTTTATAAGTATTAGTAATTAAATTAATTTCTTGTAAACAATTATAAGACTTATTTATTAAAACAGAAAAAAATATATTAAATTTCTAAATACATCATTATAAAAAATTTAATTCTACTTTAATGCAGTTTTAAGTTATTGTAGTTTTACTTTTTAATTTAATATTTATTTTAAATACTTAGTGTTATATTTACTCTTTTGCGATTTATAGCATAAATTTATATATATTTATACCTTGTATATAATATAAATTTATAAGAGAGAGTAAGAAAACTAATTAATTTTAATCGATTTAATATTATTGCATAAACATTTACGTATAGTTTCAATAATAGAGGAAAAGAACAACAAAGTAACAATTAAAAACTAGTATTGTCTCACACAGATCCATAAACTAAGTTTGGGTTTCATACACAAGCTGTTCCAGATCCAATAAGATAAGACTAACCTTAAAAAAAACAAAATATTTATTAAAAATGTTTTTTAATCCAATGGATCTCGTCTAAAAAAGTATACAAATCTTTTAATTTGCTTTTTTATTCTGGTCTATGCAAAATATTTCTCTTCTAAGTTAAAACAGCGCTGGAGAGTCTTAACGAGTTTTTCACAAGGGTTTTATATAGTTATCTGTTTGAATAGTCTATAGTATGTCATTTGAAGTCATTGGTTTCATCGGTATAGTGTTAATATATTTAGAATTCGTTAATAACTTTAATTGTGTAAGTAGCCAGAAAAAGCACCGAGCCAAAACAGAAGCATAAAACGGTCCATCGATAAGAAAAACGCTTTTTCTGGCCATGATATCTTTAAGCGATGCTGCACTAACATGTAACAAAAATCAACTGCTTGGCTTTTTATAATCCGATTGTTTTTTTTGTTTTTTTTTTTTTTTTGTAAACAAACTCGTTATACTATTAAAATTCTGGAAGCAGTAAAAGTCTCAAATAATGTTGCCCAATCACTATCTAACCATCCGGATCGAACTCACTATGAACAAGCCCGTTTGAATCGTAGAAAATGTTTTTTCTTCACTCTCCTGAAATGGTAGTTATTTCTATTTTTGGGTTTTCTATTAACTTCATGTTGCACTTTGTCATTTTGTTTTCGCGTAGTATCGAAAACTCTCCGTTTTATCACCAGTTGCAATGACTAACGTTCTTTACAGACTCGGCATTTGAAGTCTTTCACCATATCCTTGTAATCCTTTTTAGTTGTCCAATAGAGTGTTTGGTATGAAGGGGTTGGTATATGATGAAATTTGCCAACCTAAATACAGAACACCTAATATTGCTTTTTTGTTTCAAAGTTTTAGATTCCAGAAGAACCTAGATATGTAGTATCGTTTCCGAGCAGTTATAGGTCACAAGCAAATTATTTTACATATCTCGTAAGTCAGTAGAAATCAGTATCCATTAATCTTATCGTTTAATTATTGTCTTATGTCTAGTTTATTATGTTTGTCAGATATCTTATTTATTATTTTCTTGCCATATAGTTCAGGTTTACAAAACGATTGAACTTTAATTTCAATTTGGGAAAAGTAATAAACAATTACTATAATAATAAACAATAAACAAATTGCAAAAAATAATTAATAACATATAATATACAGATTAATTCTGTATTATATATCCAATGCTCTCAAACAACAAATAATATCGAATGAAATATAGCACAGTTATTTAGTATTTGATATGAATTATAATAAATAAATTTAGACAATATGTGAAATGTCATTATCAATTATTTAGCAAACTAATAAAAAGATGTTTTTAATTTGTAAAAAGAAGAACTTTTTAAATATTTTGTATCAACGAAATATTTTTTTCATCCAATAATGTACCATTAACATCTACCATACATTTGTTTTAATTTTTATGATTATAAATAATTACAATTCTCATTATCTTTAAAAAGTTTGTGCCATAAATACGTCACTTGCTTCTAGTGAAGCAGTGTATGTATTTTAATATAAAATTTAAATCAGAAATTGCCTCATTGTTATGTTTTTGGACTATTTATTAGTGTCACAAGTTTTAACATATGTATAAAAGATATTCAAATAAATCAACTTAAAGTAAATATTGATATTCATAACCAGTTAGTAAATGTTCCGACATTATACATTTATTGAGACTCCCATAGTCGAATATCTAGTCATTTGCAATATACTAAACACATGCGCTTACAACCACAGTAATGATTGTGGATCAATGGTGGTGGTGGAGCTCTAGTCTATTGAACTCAACCAGTGATTGGAGATCTGGATACAACAATAAGATTGAATGACCATAAGTGGTCCTGTGTGTCCTTCTATTCGGTCCAAAAAGTTTTAACTGTACATTTTCGGTATTATCACATACCTTCTCTTTGTAATTCTTAACTTCATTGAAAAAGAAAGTTTTTCTATATAAAATCTATTGAATAATTCATTATGTTTCATAGATATAAATTTTTAGGACATACAGACAACACGTTACTCCCAGCATATATACAGATTTGATTGTAAGAATTTGTCATATGATATGTGGAAAATAAAACGATTGTATTTTAAACACATACTAAATATTTATTTTCCCCTTAAATAATTAGTTTCTAAAACAGAATACAGTAAACTAATTTTCATCCACTTCTCAAATATACAATATATAAATAAACCTAACAAAATTTAGATTTACATATGTTCCAAAAAATACGCTAAAATTTTAGTAAAATATATATACTTATGCAAAAAAAAATATTTTGAATAGATTCTGAATAAAATATCTGTTTGTCCAGTTACGTACATTGGTTTTAAGTATCTGCAATACAGATCAAAACATCATAACTCCAAACAAGATATATAGCATGGTTAAGTTTGGAGACATTCGAAATTGTTTCGTCCATATGCAGTTTTCTTGAATCCGGCCAGAAAAACGTTTCAGTTACTTGAAAGTATTTTAGATTAGTTTCAATCTACAATTCCATATAATTTGTTATTATGTAGATTGTTATATGGCCGTACTAAAATGCTTCCCGTCGAACTGCCCTTAAAAACGATGTTTTCATGGGCAGCATGGTTTCTTCTTTTTCTTACGCTTAAGGGCCTCCTTGCAAATCTTGGTGTTCTTACGTCTGCAAGATTTCGACATTTTGCAAGCCTATCAAAAAATTTATTTATAATATTAACTTTTGAATAAAAATAATATAAATAATATAATATACCTGCTTTTCAAAGCGTAAACGTTTTTCAGGAGGTAATTTGCACCAACATTTTGCCGCTTGCTTTATAATATCTTTGGGTTCCAAGCCACAATTATTACGACGGAAGTATCTCAGATAATTCAAATACGCATTATTTGTAAGCGGCCCAGGGTTGGTACACTTCGGCTTCTTTGCACCGCAAGTCTTCTTTTTTTTCTTCGGACAGCGAGGCTTTTTCTTTTTGCAGGGATTTTTCTTCTTTTTCTTTGGACAACGGGGCTTCTTCTTAGGACACTTCGGCTTTTTTTTAGGGCATGCTGGCTTCTTTTTCTTGCAGGGATTTTTCTTCTTTTTCTTTGGACATCCACCGCAGGCATCTCCCTATAGATACAAAAATACAAAAATCAGAAAAAGATAATTGTACATAAGTCCATTTATATTTTAAATATAAACTTCTTCACTTACTAATTCACGATAAAATTTTTTACGGGAATTGCTAAAGGTGTTCCATACGTGAGTTCCTGTCATCAATATATGTTCAGATGGCTCATTTATATGCGTTTTGCAATAATCCCTTAGGAAGTTAAGATATCCCTGAGCGGAATCTGCATTTTCCTTACCAAGTCGCATTTTGGCTGAAGGAAATGCTATAAAAAAATACTTAGATGTATAAAACTTTAAAAATATATATTATAATTTACCCGCTGTCCTTAACTAACGATGTTAGGAGTAAATTCACCAGCTTGGAAGAGTATTAACCCTTAACAAGCAATAAAAAAAGACATCTACTCAATATAACTTACTCGTTTTCAGTAACCACAGATACTAGGAGTAAGTTAACCAGCTTGCTAGAGAACAAATTGTAAACAATGAAAATCAATAGTAGAACATTGTAAAATCTCACACTATAAATGTAATAATATAGATAATGCATGTATATATTGACAGAAGACATGGAAGAAACTATGTATATATATAAGTGTATAACTTTAGGTTCTGTTGTCTTAAAACATGTTTAAATTACCCGTCAAAAGTGTCTGTTTATTTAGGACGTGGGCGAGTTAGGCTAAATTACGTTCTAAATGAGGGAAATTCTAAGTTGTGCCGATAATGTGACGATGTGCCGATACGTGTTGATAAATGGGTAAATGTGTGCAGTGCAAAAAATCCCAAAAAAATCTCCCATTTGATCTAGCATTAACTTAGCCTAACTCGCACACGTCCTAAATACTGCATTGTTCAGTTTATAGAAGTAATTGCCGATATTCTGCTAAGTATTATATATATATATTATTTTCCGTTTATATCGGTCTTATAAGAATTGCAAAATAAAATTTTTGTAATAGTTTTAATTTTGCACTGCATACATTTATCAACACGTGTCGACACATCACTACATTATCGGCACAACTTAGAATTTCCCTCATTTAGAACGCAACTTAGCCTAACTCGCACACGACCTTATTTTAAGCAGATTTACTAAAGTATTAATTAGGGTCTGAGCACTGTGTTCTTAAGACCTACTAGTTACAATAATAAACTGTATGGAAATTCTTCTTATAACAAGATATAAAAAAGGTAGTTTTTTCTATATAAAAAAAAACTTACCCAAAGAATTGTTACAGAACCGTATTACAATCGATCAGCACTCACTGTCAAAGCCGGGGTATACCTCTTTGTAGAATTTCTTAACTTGTAGTAACTGAAATAAGAGTATGTTGATAATAAACTGGTATTTACTGAAAATAAATTAGTATTTACAAACTAAATTATAGAGTTTAATAAAAATAGTAAGAGACTTACAGTTAGCATTACTAACTTACATTTGCAGATCTAATCAGCTTGATATGGCAATCGTCTAAATCAATTTTCTTAATTTATAGTAAAATATATTGACAAAAAAATGTTACTGAAAAATTTTCTAGGACAAATTATTAAACACACTCTAAGTAGACAAATATAAAATTGATTTATAAAAATTTTTAAATTGAAAGGAAGATTGTATTAAGAACTTGAAGTTTTTTCAATGCTATATTGATTGATGAATATGTACTCTATAGTTTATACGTCCATTTATTGCATCTTAAAAAATAGCAAAATTAAGCAAAAATTAAGCAGAAATAGCAGAGAAGTAATTAAGGTCTAAGAGCAGTGCTTAGTCTGCTACTTATATATCATTATTTTAGTTAGGACCTACTAAATCAAGACAGACTACCCAGAAATAGAGATTAGTATTGTTATAACAAAATGTAACATATAAACTATCGTTTTCTCTGTGTAAAAAAAAACTTACCCAAAAAATTGTGTAACAGAACTCAAGAACACGCGAGAGGCCGGTATACTGCTCTCTGTAAAGTTTTTCAATCACTTGTAGTAAGTGTCCCGATCTAAAAAAATATTCAAAATAAAATAGCATTTAGAGGTCTTAATTATAAGATTTAATATGAAAAAAAAATGCCTACATAAGTAATATGTAACTTACCTTCCCAGATGAAGACAAATTTCTCAATCAATTTTCTTCATTAATTGTTACAAAAAAAATTTACTTCTAAATTTTTTAGTATAAAAATATAAACGTATTCGGAGCAGAAAAAAAAATAAAAATGTTTTATAAAAATTTTGAAATTGAAAAGAAAATTGAACGTAGATTTTGAAGTATTTTCAATGCTACCCCGATTAGAGAATATATGCTCTACTGTTTATATGTTGTTGTTGTTGTGGTCTGTTTTCTCTGAGTGCGCCTTTTTTAACTGACAATTAGAGAACCAAACGGAGCTAAAGAATTGTTAGGAAAACAATTAATAGTTTTGCCGCTCTCACCTTGCCGTACTTGGTGAAGGTTTCAATAGATCATCAGATTCATCATTATTTCCTATTCTCTCGTCTGATTTCAAAAAGCTAAGCTGCAGAAATCATGTTACTATAGACTTGAATTGGGTTCATCAAGACTGATTTACGAATGGCTACAAACTAATTCCTGCTTCTTAAATTTCATACTCTTTGTCTACCGAAAGCATCTGTATGCAATTTGGGCACATTCCAATTAAAGGAATTCTAATACTCTCATTGAGATACCCCATAGAGATATTAGTCTTGTGCTGGGTTTACTGAAAGGTCATTGCAGATTAGGCAACCATGCTAGAAGAATGAATCTTCCTTTCAATTATATCTGTAGCAGTTGTGCTTTATTCTTGTACAGCACATGCACGCCAATACCTTACCATTTTAGAAGTCTTTAGAAGTTGACGATCTTGGTCAACTGCAAGATCTTCCATAAAAAAGAATTATAAGTTTTGCCTTATACGGTAACACAATTAACAAATAGGCTCCAAAGGGACCCACTGGGTATCTACTCGAAAAACATGCTATTTAGGCAACCTGTTTCTTGCAATATATTTCATGCTGAGTTACCCGCAATCGAAAAAGCATATATATATTTTATATATATAATAAATGAATACAATTCGATTAATGGTATTTTTGTCAGATAATAATGAAACAATAAATATAACTAAAAAGTATCATTTTCTCTATATAAATAAATGGACTTACCCAGAAACTTGTTTTATAGTCCGAATCCACGATCTGCCTTCATAAAACTAAGAAAGAAATAATAAAAATATGATGAATAAATTAGTGGAGCTGAATTTATTAATGAATTTATAAGATAAAAAATTAAAGTATTTATAATTAGCGTGTCTGAATTACCTTCTCAGATCAATATTGTTCCTATTAACAATGTTTTTAATAAACTTTCTTTTTTCACAATAAAATATTACAACAAAAATTTAATACAAATTTTTTTTGGATGAAAAATAAAACAATCTTTAGAAAAAATAATATAAAAATGATTTTTATAAATATCAAAATTAAAAAGTAAAACGAATAAGAAATTTAAATCTTTCAATGCCATATCGATTAATCAATATGTAAAATGATATGCTTAGTAAAAATTATATATATATTCGAATGATTTTATTGTCTTTTAACACATTATCTTTGATTATCGATAATCTTTTCCTGCAAAATGGAATTAATTATCACAGAACTTTTTTTTTCTAACTTTTTCTGAACATGACTTAGATATTTTCTCAGGCAGCTAGTCTACTAACAAATACGTAATAAGCGCTTTAGTTACATCGTTAATAATTAGAGAATGCCGGACTTATCTTAACTAGCTAACTAATTTAATTAGCTAACTAGAGGCGTTAGTGTCTAATTCACATATGTACTTGCACACAGGAGAATCTCAGACAACAACAGTGCAGTTGAGCTTATCGGTGCAAGCACTGTTCTATCTAACATTAATTTTTCGGATATTGGTGTCCCACTTGCCAAAAATGCGAATCAAACAAAAATATTTGAGTATAGCTAAAAAAAAGTTTGGCAGATAAAAATTCATGTTAGATCTCATGATATAGGAAGACATCCAAGAGTCTGGATCTACTTTAAGAAGGAAATTACACTTCGTCTTATGTGTCAACTAATTGATTATTGGCTGAGAAGATATAAAATCTTTATCTTGCAAAGTTAGGGCCATTCATCATTGGCTAGGATATTATTTAAAATCTTTGTAGACCCTTTTCTTACCGACATAAATGCACTGTTATGCTGCATAGAGTTAACGCCATCTATAAACGTGGCTAAGTTTATAGACTTGTCAGTGGTTAGTTAGTTTACATTCACTTGAATAGAGAAATCGTGCCTTTCGGAGTTGTATGTATGCTGACTGCTGCGGTTCTTTTGAGGATACTATTGGTATGCTTATGAACAACGCTAAACCGTGGTATCACAACAGACCATTATTTGAGCTCAAGTGGGCATAAGTGTAAAAGGACACCAGTCCAACCTAATGTTGCATAACATATGTTACTTAATCACTCAGTCTATGTATATGCCAATGATACACCCAGTCCCTATATATATATGATATATAATATATTATATATAATGTATAATGTTTAATATATATTATATGTTATGTTGAGTCTTTTCCGAGTTAGTGCATCTGGGCTCTTTTATTGTTTGATAGCTGGGGGTTTCTGCAGAGTCCCACCCATCTCACTGACTAATTTGTGTATTTCTCATAAGCTTCATGATTACTCAATGACTTATCTACGATTTGCTTACCGCCCCGTACGGTTAGTGATTACTCTGAGGTTAGATGGTGCTAAGTAGGGCAGGCTGTCGGTTTTCCCATATAGCTTCAGGGACTCTGTCCCTTATTTATTTTTTTAACGGATCTATTCTAAGGTCTCTTAGCTCTAACTCCCTTAACAATACCTCTAGCTGGTATTGCTTAGTATTCGGAGATAGAGGCGCGACATCTTGTTGCTAGCAACTTCAGTCTAGATTCCTTATTAAAAAGAATTAAATTCTATGCATTCGGCTATTTTATACATACTTTTATTTTATGTTTTTGCTATTTGTATATAAAATTGTTAAAAATAAATGTTTTTATTAGTTTTATGGTTTTTAATATTCTACTGTTAATAATAATTTGAAAAATAAACGCTCAAAGGTATGCAACAAAATTTACACATTTATAAACATTGTCGATAATGCAGATCGCACTTCGAAATGTCAACCAGATGAATTCATAGAATGGAAGCGCAATCGAATTCATTCTAACACTACAACCCTGGGACAGCCGCCGGCAGCTGATAACATGTCATTTATTATTGTTCGATGTTTGTTGAGAAAATAATCTACGACGCCGGCTTCGAAAAAATTAAAATTTTATTAAATTAGATTAGAAAATTAAAATATGTTTTTAAAGCAATTAATTTTAATAGCATTATTAATTGCCTACGCCAGTGGTGGTGCTGAGGAGAAAGAAGGCGTGATATATGCAAACCGCTGTGAAGCCTGTAAAGTACTAGCGACCGAATTGCAAGGTCGTCTGCAGGAAACAGGCAAGTCGCACGATGTCATTGAGACCGGGTCGGTATAAAAATTTATAATAAAATTAATTGAATATATTTTAATTAAAATAATACAACGAATTATAGTTATTTGCTTGATGATGTAAGACCAAAAAAACGTACCGAATACCGACGCAGTGAACTGCGACTGCTGGAGTCCATGGAAAATGTTTGTGAACGTATATTGAATTATAATTTACACAAGGAACGCAAGGATAGTACGCGTTTTGCGAAAGGCATGTCTCAGACATTTAAAGCACTACATGGCCTAGTAAACAAAGGTGTACAAGTAGATCTGGGTATTCCACTTGAATTGTGGGACAAGCCACCGGTGGAAGTGACACAAATGAAAATACAATGCGATCAAATGTTGGAAAACTATGAAGATGTCATTTCGAACTGGTATTTTAAGCTTCAGGATGATGTACCATTATTAAAACATCTATGTGAGGATACCGTGCTGAGACAAGATGAACGCAAATGCCTAACAGAAGTATTGCCTGAAATCAATGAAGATGATATGGAACGACTTGGAGAGGAAGAAATTGAAAAACTAAAAGAAAAACAAAAAAAGCGTGAAGAAAAGATTAAGAAAACTAGTAAAAATGAAAAAGTAAAAGAAGAAGACAAACCCAAAAGAGTACGAATAAACACTGAGAAGAAACAATTGAAAGGTGAAAAGTCGGAACTTTAAATCCTGGAATGTACTGTAACTAGCATTTAATTCCATAATCATCTCTTTATATAGACTTATTTTATAAAAACCTAAACTATAATTAATTAGTTCATAAGAATATTTATAGTTTAGATAAATTTTTATTAATCTTATCATTTTAAATCTCCCATAAATGTATTTGTTGAAATCTTGATGTTGTAAAGTACTAAATATTCCATATATTATTCAGCAACCACTTTCCTTTTCATAATAATGTACCCCTATTTTTGTAACATAAATGATCGAAAAAATGTATGATGAGTTAAGCGTACTATAAGGGACATTATTGTCAAAATCTTTTCCAATACGCAATTAAGCCGCCGCAGTTGCAGGGAACAGTAGCTGACGACTCTCATTGATTATATTACCACTGAAATTTATTTGCTGAACTACATTTTCAACTATTGTAGCCAGCGACTATAACGTAATGCCCGACGTACGATTAAGCTTCAGTATCTAAAAACACCAAAAACAAAATAGACCAACTCTATTTCTATATATCTATAAAGCTGACCATTGTATGCTATACAATTGAATTTCAGTAACAGTTTTTGTTGCTGCTGTTGTAAGCCGTTTAGATTTACTGGTATTAATGTTAAACGGTATTTGGTTGTCGCATTTGGCAAGTGAGTCTACGTTCCTCTCTAGCCTCAATTAACCATCACCTATCCTGACCCATGTATTTGTCTTGTAAATCATTACATGTTATCTGCTTTTTAGATCCCAGCGGGTTACAACAACAACAGTAGGTCTACGTGCTATACGTACGTCCTATATGGAACAGTGTCAGTCTTTTTTTATAGCTGTGATAAGCCGTCAAGGTCTATATGGTAGATAACATGGTAGGAATTACAAATACGAACACATGGGTTAGGATATTACTAGGTAAAGAAAATGAAAACCAGGATGGAATTGTTTAGGAACAAGAGTATATTAGAAATGGGTACGATTTTAATTGAAGTTAATCTGGGATAAAGCGAAGCAACCTATCCACTGCAACTACAGTAACTGAAAATATCAAAAATGAATTTATGTATATAATTCCTTATAATTAGACTGCAGTGAGAGTCTTCAGCTTTATTGGATTACAAAGTAGTTGAAGACCCTACAATTAGGCTACAGTAAGAGTTGTCAGCTACAGTAGCTAAACAAATAAAAAAAAACAAAGTTAAGTAGGTTCGTAATATAGTATAGTGAGAGTACTCAGCTTCTGTTAACAACAATTGTAGCTTAAACGTGTATTTAAGCTTCATGGGATAAAATGGTTGTTTCTATATTAATTCTTCTTTATGTTAAATGTAAAATTAATTAAATAAACTATTGAGATTCCATATATATACAGTAAAAGCTCAGTTAAACTAATACACTCAGGAGCGGGCATATATATTTTAAATTGCCAATGTTAGTACACATTTCTGTTATAAAGTCAGAATTACTGATCTATCAACGTTCCCTTAACAGAGCTTTCACTATATAAACGATATATTGGTTAACAAAGAGATTCATTTTTTTTAAATTTAAATGTATATTAATTAAGTTAGAATTTTATATCTGATGATATCTTTTAAAACTTATATATACTTGTACATAACAAGCGCAATTGTCAGCCTATATTTTCTTAATTATTGATTTAAATTATATTATACAAATATATATGGAGTATAATTTAAAAATATTATATTATATAATATTGTATATATATTGTGTGTATGTCTTTTTAATATGAAATATTCTTCCATGTATTGTAAATGTGAAATCAATAATCTATATAATAATAATAATAAATAATAAAATTTTTATATTATATTTTTTATAAATATTTCCTAATATGAACGAGTGAACGAATGTATTATGTTTTCAAATATTTTCCAAATATTGGTAGAAATCCATTCGGTCTTCGATAATAGCGATGTGAACCAAACACATTACCATCGATTTAATATCCGTACCTCACTGTAAAAGGTATTCCAATATCTGATTTCCTATCCTTTGTTGTTGTTGTTATCCTAGTCCCCTGCGACCTACTTGTGCAGTCTCTATGTGGGGGGTATTATAAGGCATTTGGTCGTGATATAAACGAGTGACTGCGGAACGTAGACCCGGACGTTCTTGAAAGTCTATAGCCTAACCTATAGACTAGTTTTATTATCATCTTTTGATATTTCTAAAACTATATATTTCAAAAATTGTTGTGATCAAATAATTTTAAGAAAACTTGCTTATTATCCTTTATTATCTTCGTATATGATCCTTGTTAAGAGATATAGTTAGCAAAGCTCTTCCTCCACGTTGCAGCCTCAATGGCTTCCTCCCAATAAAATAACTAAGTTTCTCACCATCATCTACCCACATCCTACGTTTTTGTAATTCCTTTCATATTATCTACTTAATGGAGCACCGCAGGTTACCTTAACAACACCTTCATGTTATTCTTGTTGAGCAGGTAATAGATCACAGTTAATAGAACTCTTCCGCCACGTTGTGTATGTTGTTCCTTTTATTCTTATTATAACTGCATCAAAATCTACCTCAACAGTGATAACATCGGTGAGGTCGATTATTGGCAAGGTGTTTTTATCGCGATTATTTCACAACAATGTTTTCAGTAGTTCTCCTCTTGCAGTCTTTATATACTGCAAGAATATACTCATATAGTAAATACATAGTTACTTGTCACGTATAAATAAATCTGGCCCAAATGTGTATTATAACTGTGACTCTAGTTCTCAAAATGTCGTCTATTTGTTTTCAGTTCCACACATACACATACAAATTAGACTTTCATTGATTTTAAACTCACCGTTGAGCTGACAAAATTTCTTCACCTAGAGTATACTTATGTTTAACATTTCTAACTGTCCTTACCATTATCACCGACATTTCTAATACCTTTGATCTTTGACTCAATATTGTTAATTAACTTCGACTCATTCAAACGTTCCCATTCGAGGTACCTCGTCCTGGTTGGTTTCATTTAGACTTGCCTACTCCTCACTCCTTCATATCCTAAACAATTCTTTTATTTCTCACTCTACTCTCACTCAACAATATTTTAACCGATGTATTCGTAGTTGTAATTCCTTCCATTTTTCTATATAGATCAATGAACTTTCCATGATTTTCATGGGTTACAATAACAATACTTAATACTTTGATTTAAAATAGTATTTACCGCTAATGCTATTGTTATTGCAGCTCACAAGGATCCCTTGTGTTGTCCCTTATTCTTTTTGGGTGGGTTGAAAGGCACTTGGGTGTCACAATGGACGACTGACTCCGGTACGTACCCCGATCCGTTCTGGGAATCATACACCTCTAATGATATTATTTGCTTTTATTTTTAATGCAAAGTCACTAGAAGTAATTGAGGTCTGTAGTTATACTCTGTAATGAAGCTAGATATCATTTACTACATACAAAGGTACTATATAGAAGAAATAAATTATATGATACAAATAATAAAATTTTATTTAAAATAATACGAAACAACTGATCCATATTCTTTAAAAAAATTGGATGTACTATACAAGAAGTTAAAAATATTTACATAGTCCTGAGAGTTAAAATAGTTTGCATATTTATTCCTAAATTTAACAAAACTGATTATTTATATATATGTGTAACTTAAGCTCTATGTTACTTATATATTAAATTCATGCTAAATTCTACAAAAGTACAAAAGATCATAAGCTCTATCTTAATATCTAACATTAATGTATATACAATTAAATAAATTACTTAACATATAAATAAATAAAAATAATATATTGGAGTCAACATAAACTAACATAAAAAAAAAAAATTAATTTATAATATTTACACAACATATACAAAAACCCAAAAGAACATATTAAAAACTAAAAAAGTTACTGGAAATAGAAAACGCGCCTTAGAATCGATCCACATAGAGATTTCCTGTGGCGTCAATGTAGTCCAACCAGCATGATTACTACCTTCGTCGCTATTATTAATAGCCAATTCCACAGTGCTTATATCATTTAATAACTGGCTCTCATTTGTCGCACTCAAGTAGTTCCGTTTAATGTTACTACTCACGACACTGATATCCTTCTTCTCGTCATGTTCCTTGATGGTGGTTATTGGAAAATTGTGTACAGTCATGTAATTATTGTACTTCTCGCCACGCTGTAAATATGACTCATAAGAAGTGTTTAAGGCCTTGGAACTTGAGCTAGTGTTTGCAACTGAAAATGATTGAGAGCGGAGAGAGCTGTGCCTTGAGGGACGTGGTGATAAAGTGGACTTTAATATATTTCTGCTATTAAGTTTTTTGACATCTACGTTTTGTTTGCGTCTCCAAATTGAATTGACGAATGCAAACTCCACCAAACTGCCAAAAATGAAAATTGTACAACCCAAGAACCAAACCTCCGATACTTTAATATAACTGACTTTGGGTAAAGTTTTTCCTTGATTATGAAAGTATTATTAAAGTTAATATATTTAATCGTTTAAATAGCTTAACTGCTACCCACCTTGTGCTGATGCCAATGTTATAAATGTTAATAAAGTGGCAGTGCCCAACGTTATACGTGGTGCGGATTGGTCGGCCTGCAACCAGAATGAAACCCACGAAATGCTCACGATCAATATGGAAGGTAGAAAGTAATCCATTATATAAAAACCAACTTCACGTGATAGATGCATTGTAAAACTGAGTGAACTATAATTTCCTGCAAAGGCACCATGACGCAGATCACTTAAATCGGCATTGATAATTGTTTCATTTGCCACAACACCATGCAGCACATATTCCGTCAGATGCAGGGCAGGATCAAATGTTATTGGTCGTTTCTGTTCCCAATTCAACACAAGTTCAGATGTATTATACATCCAACTTTCAAGCACAGTAGAACAGTGCTGTGCATCAAAAGGAAACTTCTGTAAATTCATCCAGCAATGTAGCGTCGCCTTTATGCGGGAAGAAACAATTACAGTGCCATCCGGTGATATTGAAGTCAATATATCCTTCTCACTGGTACCTACATATATAAATGGTAGATTTCATATATAAACAAATTAAACTATCAAACACAGTCTTACCTAGAATACTTGAGTCACGTTCATTCGCCAGAAATATATGTGGAATCCATAATGTATCTCTTAACTGTTTCTCACCCAGTATAGGTTGTCGCCGTTTCGGTGCCACTTTACGAAATGAAAGACGTGGATCCATGAAACGAAATTGCAATAAAGCATGTATTTTAAACTGCAAATCATGTGCCTCCAAATTCTGCAGAAAATATATATAGGCACGTACATAGACTTTCACAGGTAGTCGCGTCATATCCACATAAGATATTGGGCGTTCCAGCCGGTCATAACGGCACCCATGTGTTAAACGTTCGATGAGTTGCGTTTGTGATAAGGTGTCCGCATCTACCAAATCTGGACATTCTATTGCCGTAGCTGCAATCAGATATTTTCCTATCAATATGAATACGAAAATTCCACGCAAAGCACTTATCATCCCCATTTTTCGAAAATATTTCTGTGCACCTAAATAATTGCTTCTACTTTATGCAAAAGTTCCAGCGCGCCAATTAAATTAATTTTAAAAAAAAAATTTACTTGAGCGTAAAGAAAGCATTTAAAATATATAACGGTTCTTAAGAAAACCATGTAAAAGAAAATACAAAAATGTGTGTGTGGGGGAGATCTTCGAAAAGTAGTAAAATTTCCTTTTGGGTGGAAATTTTTTATGTCGATACTTGCAGGCCGAAAAATACCCTAAAAATTCTATTATGGCCGTGTGCGAGTTCGAGTAAATTGAGGTAAAGTATACTGAAATTTCCTAAGGATTTTTTGCACTGCACTTATTTACACTTATTTCTTGCACTTATTTATAATTTTTCTGTTAAAAGTTTTTAAATTTATTTATTAAACATCTTATAAAATTTTCACAATGGTAATACTTAATTTTTATCTAATTTACCGTACTCGAAATTCTGGTAAATATCAACATACCATACGGACATAATTTACTATTTTCAATTTACTATTTTATATTCAAACTCACACACGGCCTATGTGTATTGTATACAATGCAAATATATTGCATATATATACATATTATATATACATTATCATCATAAACCTCTACAGGTTATAATCATGATTAGTCTATATTATATTTATAAGCTATTTTTAAAATCCATTTATATAAAGTTCTAATACCATTGGCTTGTTTATGTAACTTTCTCACTTTTGACAATTTTACTCACAATGTTTGTCAAAAGTGAGAAAAATCGTTCGAAAAAAATAAATGAGAAAGTTACATAAAAGAGTCGCATGTCTCAGTTAAGTTAATTTTGCTTATTAAGGCCGATAATGACGATAATTTACCATACAAAGAGCTTTCATATAATAGAGCTGATTATAAATAAATCAGCCCATTTATAGCACATTCACACTGTCCTATTTAGGCAGTTTTGCCCAATATAACCACTAATGAGGATGATTTACCATAGAAAAATCTTTCATATAAATGAGCTCATTATCAATATATCAGCTCATTTAAAGCAGAAATTGCCGAATGCAACCCTCACTTTGAATGAGCCATTTGTAAGTGTTTACATTCGTTGTAATTCATTTGTTCCCATTTCAAACAGCTGATTTTTCAACTTGCCTGTTGATTTGATTTTTGGCCTGTGCCAAAAAAATGTTGCATAAAGGCTAAATATACTTTCAAACCTTAAAATATATACTGAAAACATATTTTTAATTTCGATTAAATACTTTTTGGGAAGTAGAAGTTCTAAAAAGAGATACATCGTTTTCAAGAAAATGCAACCACCAAACATTTGTTTACCTTTCTTTGTAAATATGTCAAAAACAACTTTCTCAAACTGTCAAAATACCATGAAGCGCTTTTATTTAGGGTACGTTCAATGTATTCCTTTGTATTTGGAACGCATTCAAATGTATAAAAGTACATTATACGTATAAAGTACATTGAAATCCTAGGAATTTTTTCCACTTCATTTATGTAAATATTTATTTATTTATTGCACTTATTTATTTTTTTTCGTTAAAAGTTTTCAAATTTATTTATTTATTAAATATTTTATAAAATTTTTTAATGGTAATACCTAATTTTTGTGTAGTTTACTGTACTCGAAATTCTGACAAATACCAACATTCACTGTCATACCGACATAATTTACTATTTCTCTCAATTCACCATCAATTTACTCAAATTCAAACACGACCTTAAGGTATTGTTATTTTGAATTTTCTTCTTCCAATTTTCTCGGATTATGTGTGTTATCTATATAAGTGTGGTGTGTTTGCTTTAATACAATATTTAATAAAAATACGTTTTATATTATGTTTTAATATTAAATTTAAAATATTTTGTAAATAAATCAAATTTAAGTAAATTTAAAATGAATAATTATTTAAGAAACATCGAATCGTTAAGTATATTTCGAATTTTCGAAAATCGCAAGTGTTTAGAACTTCGAACATAAAACAAGTCAACAAACAAATTTTGACAGCAAAGAACCGAACAAAGAGGAAGAACAAGAGTCTTATCCAAGCGAGCACAGAAAGATGCTAACTAAAATTTTTTTAAATTGATTAATTAATATATAAAAAATATAGATTTTATTTATATTTTTGAATAACTTCCATATTGAAAGCCGCTGTGTGTTTGTGTAAAACGATTAAAATAAAAATTTGTGTAGAAGTTTTTTCACGCATGCACAGCATTTCAGACCGACAACATGGAATCGACAAATTCAACGACAACTACTAATGTTGAAAAGCCTGTTCCAGATACTGCACCAACAGCAGCAGCAACAAAAGAAACTCCTACAACTGAGGCACCAGTTTTGAATACAACAAAAGAAGAAACCACAACTCCAACTGAACCAGAAGTGCCAGTTAAAGCAGCGGAACCGGAACCAGCTAAACCAACGGATGCCAACGAAAGTGCAACTAAAGAAACAAAAACTGAAGAAAAAAAGCCAACAGATAATGCAGACGATGCAGATGAATCGAAATGGCATACTGTAGGTATTTTTGAAGGTGTCACAACTGCAGTGGTTAAAGGCTATATCGATAACAAGGTATGGTCATCGGCTGGCCAGAATCTGACATCAGATTCATTGCCTGATTTATCGCAAATGGCACGTATTAGTTTGGAATCTGGTACAAGTTATCGTTTTCGTTTACGCGCCATTAACAGTTTAGGCAGCAGTGACTGGGGTGATGAGTGTAATATAAAAACATGTACGCCAGGTTTTCCTGGCGCGCCATCAGCAATTAAGATATCAAAATCTGCAGAAGGTGCACATTTGACTTGGGAACCACCACCACATGATGAAGGTGACAAAATCGTAGAATATTCTGTGTATTTAGCTATAAAATCACACAAAGATGCAAAAACTCAAGCACCACGTTCAACGCAATTGGTCTTCGTGCGTGTTTATGTTGGTGAGCCAAATCAATGCACCGTGCCACATGCATCGTTGGAGGCAGCACATGTGGATAGCTCTAATAAGCCAGCTAAAATATTTCGTATAGCGGCACGTAATGAAAAAGGTTACGGGCCAGCTACACAGGTCAGGTGGTTACAGGATCAAACGCCTGGTAGTGGTGGTCACACACCGAAAAAGAATGCAAATGGCAGTAATCAATCACCTAAGACAGACAGTGGTGTTATCTCGCCAAGTAAGCGATTTAAACCAAACAAACCCACTTAAGGATTTAAATTAACTATATTTGGACAAATTTCTCGTCAACTAACGAAACACTTTTGAATGAAATTTAGTTTATGGGAATTCAAAAAATATGAAGGGAATTCTCTTCAGCTAATAAAATTAATATTAAAATTAAAATACAACTAAATTTGAAAAAAAAATTCACCTCAAATTAAGCGTAAAACAGTAATATTTTTTTCTCTATGTTGTTCTTAATAATATATTTGCTTACATTTATATTAATATTATTTATATTTTTTTATTTCAATTTCTAGGAACTTTGCAAGAGATGGTCGATTTCTTTTTTGCATAAGAACTTTATTTAATGTCAACTTTATACTATATTTTATACATAGATATCATGAAAATAAACTGTAAAATATTTTTTTATAAATAAGTGTTATTATTAATTCGATTTATATTACTTTAATTTAGTTTATATAACATTAATTTAATTTATATTACATTAATTTAATTTATATTATATAGATTTTATATTTTAATTTAGTTTGATGTAAGACCAACTAGCTTCGCTATTACAAAAATAATATTTATATTTAATAATATAAACCTTAGTGTTAACTCATTAAGTACCACGCAATTTCAGATTTGGAATTTTACGGTGAAATTTCCATAATGTATAATAAAATAAAACAAGTTTAAGTAAATGGGAAGAGTTTAATATTCATTTGAAAAATTACTTTATCTTTATCTAAAAAAGATACAATATTCTTTGAATATTAAAAAATATTCAAAGCGAGCCTTGTGGTCTGAAATGGGTTAAACTAAGGACTTTAAAGTTTTATTGAGTTTAAATTTTATAAATATCTACTTTGATAAAAAGTATATTGGCTTTTTTTTGGTACTAACATATTACTCGTGTAAATACAAGTAGAACTCGGAAAAAATGGCTTTAGAACCATTTATGTATTTATATATAAATATTTATATCTTTAAATTTAATTGTTATATTGAGTATAAGTCTTATTTATCAATTTTATAATAAAGTAAGCCATGTTAAGGCACAATAGATCGCAGTACAAATTCCCATAACATAGTAAGCCATGTTAAGGCACAATAGTTCTCCAGGTTGTAGAGCAATTCAACAATTCAATCCACATAATAGGAAACCATCTTAAACTTATGAATATAAACAGTAAATATTATTCAACATGTTTAATAGCTTCAGACACGATCGGCCCCTATTAGAGTTAATCATCTACCACAAAAAAAATCAGCTATTGTGTCTGTATGCCATGAAGATCTATATAGTAGGAAGCATGGAAGGAGTTACAACATGAATATTTGACTTACTGTTCTGATTTGCTGAAGGTAGAGTGAGAAGAAGAGTTTCTTGGGGGTAATTGGGAGATAAAAGCCTGTATGATTTAGAATTAAAACTAGCCTTTGTTGAAGTGAACAAAACTGGCCATCATAGTTCACCACTTATGCTGAACTTTTGTTTTTGTAACCCGCCAGGACCTGCTTGTGGAGTCCCTTTGCAAAGTGTTGAACGGTATTTGGTCGTCGACCATTCTTGGCTGAATGTTTGCTGTTATTGTTGTTATAACCCTCAGGAATCTACTTATGTGGTTTCTTTTGGGAGTATTGAACGGCAGTTGGTTGTCTTAACATTACAAATGACTCCCGGACGTAGATTCGGCTGTTGTTGGAACTTGGACAGGGTCTATGTCCCGGAGCCACTCGTCAATCTCGACGACCAAATGCCGTTAAACACCACCTAAAGCGATTTGATAAGCAGGTTATAGTGGGTTACAACAACAACATCAGTCAATGCAATACAACATAATTCTATAAATTGTATGCAGTAGTGGTTCTAATTAAGGCACATTCTCAGAAGAGAAAACAAAAATATTGCTTTACAGGCACTGAGATGAAATCCTGTAAGTTTCTTCTCGCCTCGATGCACCATCCATGACTTGGAGGAGCACAGTGTAAAAAGAATCAAATTATTTATGGAACCACATAGTTGCCCCTTCCCAAAACGTCGACTTGGGTTTGGGAGCTATTCTCAGGTGTCGAAAGATTCCCAAAGAAGACCTAGGAATCTTCTCCATGACTTGGAGAAGAACATTCGAAAGTGAATTGAAAGACTCAAATTATATATGTAACGATATGTTATGTTGTCTATGTCCCTAACAGAGTAGGATTTAAGTTGGTAACAGATCCTCGTAATAGTACAGAGCTTCACTTAATAGGAGAAAATAGAAAAATATACAGAAGCTAAATTTAATGAATAAATATTAAAATTACATGATTTCAGTTTTATTATTGCCTTACAGTTTTATTATTTATTCTTACATGTCAGGAATGACACTATTCAAATTGCACATACTTCATATTTAATTAAATTATCTAAAAGAAAATATAATATAAAACTTTGCTTGCCTAACTGCAATAATATAACTTACCTTCAATGGTTTTAGCGCATCTATCAAGATATTCTTCTGTATTCCAATTCTTCTTAAATTTATCAGAATTTATATTTAAACTATATCCTGGGCCATATTTAAGAAAGTTATCATTCGTAGCTGGTATATCATTGCATAGTTTTTTATTTAGTATTGCAGCTGTAAGTTGTGTCCAGAAACGACTTGTATTTGGAAAATTATAACCACCGCCACCCAATATCAATGTGGGTAAATTCCATTTTAATATCATAAAAACACAACAGATTAGAGCGTGTGGTGTTATATTTGTACCACCCAAAGGATCACTAACAATAGCATCAGCACCACATTGAATGACGCAAGCATCAGGATTATAACATTCACCTATACGTGTCACTATTCTAAAATTAGAAGACTAAATTATATTACATTATTACTATTAATTATATATATGAATAGATTCTTAAGTCACAGTAAGATATCCTCCAACTTGATAAAATTTATATAAATAATTATTATATGATAACTAATATATGATTCTGAGCTTCACATATGGCAGGACACGAGTTCGATTCCTGGTACTTGCAATCCTAAAAAAAAAAATTTTTGAATAATTTAATACAAGCATTATTTTCAAGACCACTGATCATGGGTATTTGGCAATACTCGAAACAGCTGTATGGTCAGCCAAAAATACAATTAATTAAAATAATATAAAATGCATTGTTGTTGTTGTAGTTTCACTACTGTTCGAAGAACCTCTTTATAAATAACTATTACTCCTGTGTGCGAGTTCGAGTAAATTGAGGGAAATAGTAAATTATGTCGGTATGGCAGCGAATGTTGGTATTTACCAGAATTTCGAGTAGGGTAAATTAGATAAAAATTAGGTGTTGCCTTTGTAAAAATTTTGTAAGATGTTTAATAAATAAATTTGAAAACTTTTAACTAAATATAATAGATAAGTGGAATAAATAAATATTTACATATATGCAGCGCAACAAATCCCTAGGAAATTTAAATTTACTTTACCTCAATTTACTTGAATTCACACACGGCCTACATTGATTATACTGCCTAAATTTATAACTATTTATATTTAATATAATGGTTTTTATATATTTTTTAATATGGTCTGTAGCCAGTCACTTTTTATTAAACAATTCATCAGGTCATCATCAGGATCACAATCCAACATAAATTAATATTACTAAAACTATATCTACATTATCCTCGTTATTCTATTATCTATATTGCAATATAGTCGTACTAAAAAATATATAAAAACTATTATAAAAAAAAAAGATATTTATATTTAATTATAATATTTACCTCTTAAAGTATTTATAAAATGAAAATCCATCTATTCCATCTTTATATGGGAAATTTGCTGTATAGCCTCTACCACCAGCTAAACCACAATCACTGACGTTACCAGTGCCTGGATAGTAGCCACATTCATATTTATGCAGAGAAAATGTAAAGACATGTTTGGTAGTCTCGAAAGCTTCTTGCACACCATCACCTGGGGGTAAAGTTAATGTAAGATATATAATGTTAAAAATACATTGCTTGCTCATATTGTATTCACAACTCACCATGATGCACATCCAAGTCAATATATAATATACGTGAAAAATGTTGTCTTAATACCAATATACCAAGTACAATATCGTTAATATAACAATGTCCACCAGCTTTATCACGATGTGCATGATGCCAACCACCACACCAATTTATTATTATTTCTGGTTCAGTTGGTTTGCATTTAATTAGCGCCTCACAAGCAGTGATGGTAGCACCAGCGATAATGCAAGCATAAGATAAAATACATGACCATGCTGGACAATCATACCCCAAGCCATATTCTTCTTCAATAGATTCTTCACATACTTCTTCCTCTTCTTCTTCTTCCACTTGTGTGCTAGACAAAGCTTCATTCCGAATTTGTTTGGAAGGCTGCGTATTGTGACTGCGCTCAAAGCGTTTAAATTGTTCAACATAATCTGAGCTATGAAAATTAGTCAATTCCGATACTTTACAATTTATAGGAGTAAGTATTTCCATTAAATTTATTAAACCATAAGAAGTGATTAATTGATGTGTTAATGTGGCCTGAAAATTATTGAGTTTATTACAAATACAAAATTGGCGGGAAATTTAAACTCATTTGTATTTTACATACTCTGCCTTTTACAGCTGGATTTTTGTCTGCTTCTCTTATTAGGTATTCACTATATACATATCTAACTGTTCTTTTTGACATAGTTATTTACTTACTATTTATTTTATTATTTGGACAATAAACAACTGCTCTGTTCACTGCCCGAATTGTGCAAATAAAAAATTTTGTATTTGAACTGTCAAAATGTTTAGCTGTCAGGCGACTAAAACGAGTAACAGCGCCAACTAGTAATGAATAGTACATAAAAATTGCAACACTGTGGGCATTTAGTGTATTTGTTGATTATAAAATTTGAAATATGCTTTAATAGAAGTATTATACGATATACTACGTAGATATACAATTTAATAAAAAAGCTTATGGAGCTGTTTAAATAAAAATTTACGACTACTTTCACATGTCAATACAATTAAGTTTTTAAGATATCTGATTTAAAAGTTCGACATTTTTATATGAAAACCAGAAAAGGATCTTTTCTGATGAAAACCATCAACTTGTCAATTGGTCATTTAGATAATTTTGCATAAAAATCATTAAAAACAAATAGATCTGCCATTTGGCACGTCAACTTGTTGTTTCTCGTTGAAATGAAAAACATGTGTATACTAAGGAACGCTAGATGGCGCGTGTAGTTTTTTTTGTTATTGTAATCAATTTAAAAATTTGACAGTTATAAATCTCAATATAAGCTGAGTCTACGAAAAATATAAATTGTCGAAAATAATGTATTCGTTATATAAAATAGTCAATTCAGTATATAAAATTTAAAATTCAGTCCATCGTTAATTTAAAAGTTGTGAATAAAATAAACTTTTAAAAAAACAAAAATAACACAGCAAACCAATTTGGCGCCTTTTTACTTTTACTTTACTTGCTTCACCCTCCACCCTCCGGAAAAGCGTTCAAACGCACTGATCGATTGTTCAACTCACCTACACTAAATTTTGGTTGAAATAAATTGGATTTGTTTATTAATTCAAACAATTTAAATAAAATTAATTTTTATACACAGAACAGCGCAAATAAAAATCTACAATCAAGCGATATGCAAGCTGCATTGCCACCTGAAGATCTCCGTTTCAAATATGCAAGTCCTTTGTGTTGTTGTTGTAATGAATTCGCTTTGCATAAGTTTTCCTAATACAATTCGTCCATACAAAGCGAAGAAGAAGAAAAAATTGTTAGTTATTATTCGCTGTCAATACGAACGCAACAGTTAAAGTCAGTGCTAATCGAATTAATTGTTTAAAGCTAAAATTATTATTGAAATCCTACAACATATTTGTGCAAAAGTGATTATAAAATAGTTGTGGTTGTAATAAATATATTAGTTACTTTGAATAGTTGAAAATTTTACAGTAATTTGCAAAAACAATATTTACGTGAAAGCACAAAGCAGTACGCCATTTTGAAATTGCCATACATTGTTATTGCAGTTTAATTGAAAATATAATGTTCGTTAAATTTTTGTATAATTTATTTAAAAATATATTAAAAAATTAATATATAATAATTATTTAGTGATTTATACGATTTTGATAATATACATTAATTTTCTAAGAAGCTTCACTTTTGTAAATTGCAAGTGGTGAGCGTAACTGTAAATGCTTGTGTGCGGAATTTCAAACAACGCAATAACAGATCTTTTACATATCAGGTGAAATCGTCGTCGCTATACAGGGTGAGCCAATTAATTTTTTAAATAGAAATTTTAGTATAAAAAATATTGTTTTTTTAAAATTTTTTAATTTAATTAAATAAAAATAAAATTAAATATATTTTTTAATTAAAAAAAATTAATTCATATATAAAAAAAATTTATCATAACACTGGAATATATAATTTATCAAGGGGTTTTCCAAATTTTAGGAAATTATTTTTGTGAATTTTTTTCCAAATTTTAAAAAATTATTTTTCTGATTTGTTTAATGTAATTCAAAATATTTACTTAATGTGAAATGACAATAAGTGAACATTTTTGAATTGAAATGGTATATGAGTTAAAGCATTCTCTTTTGAATGGAAATGGCATTTGAAAATATTTGTAGCAAACAATCTTTTTTCTGTTACTGTGACATATAAAATGATATTTCTGCTTGTTTTATTTTAATATAAAGTGCATTGAATCCACTAGATATGCGATACTCTAAGCTTGGTTAATTTATATAGGGAAAATTAAAATTGACACCCTATAGAAATTTATTTGTTCTAACAGGGCACTGGGTTATAGGACGGTGTAGGGCCAAGCTCAGCTTATCCTGCAGTATCTTCTGTAGTACATGTTAACCAGCGCTCATAGAAAAGGCACACCAGAATACCTGTTGTGTCTATGTTCAGTGCCCCACTTATTCAACACTTATTGGGTGCCCCACTCTTCAACAAACACGACGATATTTCTAGTGTTACCGTTGGCTAGAGTTTTGCATTAATTAATGCCTTCTTCTGGTTCTAACATGTCCATTCTCATACTCGCTATTATGTGAAATTGTTGAATCAAAACGGCTTTTTAGCTTATTGAGGAGGACTCGTTTCTTCCTTCACTTCAACTAACCTATTGATATTGATGTGGTGATATATGAATACCATAGCCTTATTGACATAAATTTACGTTTTTGTGAAGTAAATCGGTCACCAATATTACTTGATTTTTTATAAGTTAGTTGACGTGGTGAATTTTGTTCTAATTTCTGGAATCACCGAAGGAGCATAAGGTTTGTGGAAGTAAAATCTCAGAATTAATTTATATCGGTATATAGCGTAATGACAAAATGTGGTCAGAATAGGTGTTTTTACTTAAATTTGTAATTAAATCGCGGTGGCCTTCTGGCCTTCTTTCTCATACATTTTTTATGATGATGCACTTGTTTTTTAAGATTGTTAGGGTTGTGAATTGAGATGGTTTCTGACTGTTATTTAGGTATCATTATTTTATTTCAAAGTATTATAAGTTAGGCTGAAAAGGATGTTGGTATGCCAATTGTTTATCAATTATCAATAGTAGTATAAAAGGATCGGTTATCGGGCAGGTTAAGAAAGTGGAACAATAAGCTTCTATGATATGTATAAGGATTTAATAAAGATTTAATATTTAATATCACACAATCCCTCGCTGTTGTACTGTTGTGGATTTCACGAATTTCGAATCTATAGCCAAATCGATGGATTTTGCGAAATGTGAAATATAATTGAAGTTATTGGGGTTTCAGGGTCAATGGTTATTTTAGGCATGTATTTATTATACGAATTGTAAGATGAGTTCCAATGAAAATATTTTTAGTTCTATTTATTTGTTTCTGTATTCAAAAATTGATTTTTATTTTGATTTAACTTGATTTCCTAATAATCGAGCAGACAATTGTTATTCTTATTGATTGAGATAGTGAGAATGGCAATATAGCTTGGATTTTCTTGTAGGTCATTTGCACTGTAGGACTAAAAACTGAAAGCTTCTAAAAAATATAATGAAAAAGTAATAAGTGTAGCTTTTATGTATTTTATGTATAAAATCAAAGTCTTCGGTTCATAGTGTAATGGAAAAGGTTGTTCAGGATATTGATATTTTTTTATAGGGTCTAGCTGTTTTTTTATATATACATCACTAATATATTTCTCACTTCTTCCAATTTATAATATAAAGATATATTTAATTGAGATTGATTTGTAAAATGAAGGAAATGTTATTAAATACTGTTATAAGTAATTAACAAAAAAAAAAAAAGTTGTAAAAAAATAACCACAGTGTATAATCTTTAAAGTTCAATCATATATATTTATAAGTTTATGGTAATATCGTGTTTTTCAAGGAAGTTATTGCATTTTTAATATTTCCAATAACTTAAAAATTTAATGGAAATTTTTGGCAACCCTGTGATATTTTTTGTAACTTCCATATTAAAGAAACGGCAATATAATTATTTCTCACATAAGTTCCCTCAATAATAGTTGAAATTTAAGTTTAGCTGTGTTTTTCCACTAAGGTCTAGTAAATGCAAATAACGTATCAACAGAGTTACCAAATAATTAATTATTTTAATAAAGAGTTTTTTCGAATAGTAGTGAACTACAACAACAAAAATTTATTTTATATTATTTTAATTACTTGAGTTTTTAGCTGACCATACAGTTGTTTCGAGTATTGCCAAATACTAATTCTAGTATTTAAAAATAATAATTCTAGTATTTTATTATTCGTAAATATTTTTTTTTTTTGAGACTGAAATTAAATAATTAAATTAATTTATTCACTAAAAACAAATATATTTTTTTAGTTTCAATTAATTTTATTGATACTTTTTATTCCATCTTGAATTTATTCAATTATTGTTAGCATTTAACATTTTATTTTGTTACATAAAAATACGTACATTTAATACATATTGGTACCGATAAATACATATACTCTCCTTAATAAGTTTACGGTAATATACAAAATATTAGTCTTAAACTAAATCAATTAAATAGAAGACATACAAATCAGATAAATCACTTAAATTATATATATAATTTTTGCTTAAAATATTTTTGTTATTTCAAATTTATTTAATTTAACTTCGTTTAAAACTTTTTTTACGCAACTGCCACGCACACAAATACTGTGCCATGTAAGTAATCAACCATTTGAAATGGCACTAGAAGTAATCATATTTACAATAGTAATTTTTGTTAGAAGTAGTAAAGCTACGAATACTAAATAAGTTTATAGTTGCTATGATAAGATTCATTCAGTCACTTTCTGTCTATAATACCACTAGAATTTAACTAATTACTTATAAAACTAAATAAACATATATAACAAATCACTTAACATTAGTAATTACAGTACGATATTAATTACTCGTTTAGAGTAATTTGAGAACAACAAATGCAAAATTATTATTTACATGTTATTTTTTATATAAATTTTTAATTTATTACTATTTAATTACTTTTCAATTACTTACTACCCATTTACCAACATCTAAATTACTTATTTTACAATTTCCTTCATATTAAACTATTTTTTTATATAATATGTGCTAATGTTGCCCATAATATTCCTCTTTAGAAAATAAACCAATGACAATTGTCAGATAATATAATTATAAAAACGATGAACTAATGAATTAAGTCGGCCCTCAAATCGAGTTGTCATTTCTCCTTATAAACTTAATTATTCCACATAACTAAATCACTTCCATAAATTATTATAGTTTTAAAGAATATCTTAATTTAAAAATATTACTCGATATCAAGACTTGGCTAAAAGAGACCACTCTATATAAATAAAACTCATCGGCTTTTCACTAGTAATTTGTCATTGGTATAGTCACTTTTTGGACAATTATATTATGACTTGACTGAAAGAGACCACTCAATCAAAGAAAACACATGTTTTTTACTAGCAATTGTCATCAGTTGATTTTACTGCAGGGTAAACTTTCAGCAACACTAACACATATACACCTAGATATACATATACATATGACTTACTATAGCTAGGACTACAACCTAATACTTCATTTTCTATATTTTAATTCAAAACTGCACACGGCGTCTATATACGATCAATTTGTGTCTCTTGTGCCTCTAATTCTGGTTCTTCAGCCAAAGTATAAACACCTTTTATGCCATGACCACTGGCTGAGTCGATGGAAGATTGCGTAGTGGGAGTTAAATTATCCACCAGCGGACTGCTCATACTTGTCGATAAGCCCATGGTATTCAGAACACTGCAGGAAGTTGGTGTAGAAGTTGTAGCAGTTGTGTAGGGCACCAAGTTCGTTAGCGGCAGGTTGACATTACTTTTAAGTAGATGTGTGGAAGCTGAGTTCGAAGAGTTGGGATCCATAGTTAATATAGGCACTAGCTCGTGATTGACATAGTCTTTAAGCGCATGCATCTGACCAAGTTCGGCATCGATTTGATTGCCAAATACAAGTGAAGTGGGCGTACCTTTAAAAATATTTCACATAAATTAAATAAAAACTTTTCTATATATACAAAAAAAAACAACAAAAAAGCTGTTTTAACTTACCAGTGACCAATGTTTCTTCGGTGGGATTACGCTGATATAAATTTGATTTCTTTTCATAATGCCAAGGCGGCATATAATAGTTTTGTTCTTCACTCGTTGTATCCAAGTTTGAACTTTTTTTGAATTCGACCACAATTTTGATACGATTTACAATTTCTTCATGTATGACGTTGAAGCACATAGCTGTTAGTGCCATCCCCGACATTATATAAATCGAACAGAACCAAGTTGTTGTATTAGATTCACGTCTTAAACCCGGTAACATATCACCAAAACCAATTGTGGATAAACTCATAAAACAGAAATAGACACCATCCAGTAATGGCCAATTTTCCAAACGGTACAGTACAAATGCACCAAATATTATGTATATGATCATCATGGAAAAGCATAATATTATGGGCGCTAATATGCTTAGACCATGCATCGAACTACGTGATTCACTTGCACTTAGGGAGTCAATATCTGGTGGCCCACTTGGTATACTACCTTGTTTCTCAGGCGTTTGAAAATTATCATGCATTGAGCCAGAACGTACATAGTATGGTTCCTTCATAGCCGCTTGTTGTTTACGTAGCTCCTCTTGCTGTCGCTTTCGTTTCATACGTCGTTCCTTTTCTGCCATACGTTTCTCGTCGTAACAACAATAGCCACAATTTGAGCATAGACAACAGCAGAGTGCTTTGGAGAAAACTTCACGTGCTACTTTCGCCATTATACCGCCAGTACTTGACAGATATACTAGTGTTAAAGGTATGCCAAATATTGCATAAGCCAAGGTCACCAAACGGCCGAGCGTGGTTTTGGGAGCAATATTGCCATAACCTAAAAAATAAAATAAAATTAGAATTAGAATCGTAAATGTTTTATGAATGTAGAGGTGTAAAAATCAATATTTATCAGAAATGATAGAAACCTGATCCACAGCTCATATATATGAAAAAAGTGATATGATTGAATAGGTGTTATTATAGACCACTTTAATTAACAAAAAATACTGAATTTCCCAAGAATTTTCCCAAGAACAATAAACCGTTGCTGGTGGAATAATTTGAGGAAAAAAACTAAAGATATCTAAAGAAAAGGTAAGGATACAACTAGTTTCTTGTTAAGCACCTATTGTATTATATTCGACACAACGACTGGTTTTAAAATGATTAGTATACCACGAAAGAAATGTTTAAAATAAGATAACACGGGCGTAGCTCTTATTGAAAGAATCTCTGTTTAAAAGACAGTTCACGCGGCCTTTAGTGAGATGCTGATGTTGTGGCCAATAACTGCTTCACAGTTTTTTGTTTTGAAATTTTCGTCTTGATGAATTTAAGATGAACAAGGACCCTATCCCTGTAAATCTCTACTCAATAGTAATAAAAATAATTATATTATAGGTTTCGCATTCAGTGAGATTTCGACACGCAAAATATAGTAACTTATGCAATGACACGTCGATAAAGTTTGTAGCATTTAGCGTACTGGAAAGAATATTTACATAAACGCAATGCATTGGGAAGTATAAGAACAAAAATTATTTCATCGTTTTCTTAATTAGTTTTGAAGCCTTTAGTTTTTCTAGAAACAAGTATTTGTGTTTAAGTAATGAAGATTAGGTTACGTTAGGTTGAAGTTTCTAGTGCACACAGCCCACCCACCCCAGATAATGGCCCATTGTGATAACATGGATTAGTATAGTTTAACATTGTTCATACGCAGTCCAGAAGGAATACATAAAAAAGAATTGGTTCAATGATAGCTGTATAGGGTCAGGGTAGGACTCCATGTTAAATACCTAATCTGGGGTCTGCAACTTTTCCACATTCGCAGGGGGCGAATAGGAATCAATGTTCTCTAAGTTCAATACCTTCAATGTTCTCTAAGTTCAATACCTTCTTTTTATAAATATTTATTAATACCTATGCAGTAAAACATCCATAACTCGAAGTAACATTTTGCAAAGAAAAAATTCGGCTTATGGAGACTTCGAGTTAGAGAATTTTTTTTTTTAGTTTTAAAAGATACTAGAATTATATTTTAAAATAATTACTTATTTATTTGAAAACAAATTAGGCACAGAAGTTAAAGTAAAATATTCAGAAATTAGGGTTTTGAATTTTAATTATTTTTCTTATTTTCAGTAAAAAGAAAATTTGTTACTACAACTGATCATTCATTTGCAAATAAAAACTCAGAATTTTGAATAAGTCTTCTACTTCATTGTTGAAAGGCTGATGAATAATTTCATTGACTGAACCCTCATCGTCCCTTTTCGTTACGTTTAGAATTGGATCCACTAATTCAGAGCTATAATGCTCAATAGAAAAGCTTAATGTACAAATTTAATTGTCAAGCTTAATATTATCATTAAGAGTGGCATTGGAAGCTATTTTATTTACTTTACTTTTACATAAATTCACGTTCTTCATCAATGTTATTCAAGAAACCTAAAGAGATGTCGTTCTGAAAGCTCCATGTAAAAAATTAGCCAGATCCAGCTTTTTTTGAAGCAGTGCACCATCGTTTGATTACTTACACCAATATCTCAAACACCTGTTACATGATTTATACAATCCATAAGTGCAATATTCTGCTTTTTGTTTGCTTTTATGCGATTTAGTGCTAATTTAATAATTCTGTTGTGATTGCTACGCTTTAAATTTTGAATTATTCCATAAGAATAGCAGTTGCAATTTAGAGGTCATAAGAAAGAAAAAAGCTAAACATTTGGTTTGGAAAAAGGGACTTTCCCTAACACAAATATGCAATCATGCTTAAAACAAAAATTCGACTTATTGAATATATTTTCCCATATTCATATTGGCATGTGACAATATTTTTATTTGAGTTATGGACTGTATTTGAGTTCGACTGTATTGATTTATATGTATATTAATAAGTACCAACTTAAAATTTTAAATCTTGTAACTGAAAATAACTTATTTTGTGTCAGAATATAATTTTCTAATAAATAACAAAATTTGTCCAGAAAAACTCAAGTGTTATACTCGTCCATAACATAATTTGCCAATATGAAGTCAATTTATTGGTGCTTTTTTCATGACAAAAAAATTGAATTCAATTTTTATGTCAATTATTGAAGTGAAAAAAAAAATAGCTGAGACAAAAACCAAATTTAGTGTCATTTCAAAACGAGTGGAAAAATTCAAAATATTTACTATGTTTTGCTTTAAACTCTTTCTTCATTTAACTGTCACATTACGCTTCATTTTCTTAATTTTGTTAAAAAATAACATTGAAGGAGTTACAAAAAGTAACTCCTTCGTTTCTTCGTTCCATCGCTTATCTGCAACCGTTTGCGGGAATAGCAAATCAATATTTTTTTCATTTTTTTCATTTTTTTCATTTTCATTTTTTTTGTCATATTGACTGGCATTCAAATAATAATAACAATAAAAAGCGCATACATTCCATCTACTCAGCAGTGGTTCAACGTCATTGATGTGACATTATTAAGGCAGCAATGGCAGCAACAATGGCAGCAGCTTAACAGCGCAGCAAACAATAGCGTTGACAGCGAATTTCGATAAAAGTTGTATAAAATGACAAAAAAAAAAAAACAACAAGAGAGAAAGAATAAATTTAAGTTTATTTTATGGTACATGCAATGACAGTGCTCAATGCTCACTGCTTACGCTATTCGCATTGCACTCCCAATACACCCACTAATAAAATTTGTGTGCTGCGTTGTTACTTGCATATGCTGCTACTGCCTATACTGTTGGCTCCGCCATAAATACAACAGTAAAAAGTATAAAAAATAAATCGAATAAAAGAAAAAAGACAAAAAAATATATATAAAAATGAGTAAAAATTGAAAGCAAAAGAATCTGCATATTTTTTATTGAAAGATATTGAATGATATCAATGTACAATTTTTACACTTAAGTCAGCGTAACTCAGTTGGCTTAACAAGCGACAAAGTCAACAGCAACAGCAACAGCAACAGCAACAGTAGTAGTAATAGCAATGGATGGCTATTACAGTGCTGGCAACGGTAATAGAAGCGACAAACGGTGGCAGGGGAAGTTTCTCATGACAACCAAATTGGGTGCTTTGCATTTGCAAAAATTTCTCAATTGTACAATTTGTGCCCGAAACCGGAAAAGGAGGATCTTTTCAATTGTCAGCTTTATACACAAACCTACACATACAACACAAACTTACATATACACATACACATACACATACACATATTCAATCATAAATTTATTTACAAACGTATAGATTTAGAGTAAGTAGTATGCATAATATATGTTGATGTATAAAAGCACAAATATAATGCAATATAAAACACCCAATTGTTGTTGTTGTTGTTGTTGTTGTTGTTGTTGTTGTATTGGTAAATATATCGCATAAAAATTGGTATCACTAAAGACCAATGCCAGCCAGTCAGCTAGCGGTTGTGGTGCGTATGCTTTGCAATTTTATTTATTAGCAAATTAAGCATTTGGGAATTTTGAATGGGCTCTTTGTGTGTGTAAGTAAGTACAATGTGAATGCACTGCATATAAGAGGTGTAGAGTGTACTTGATTTTTCATACACACACGCAGCATACAGCAGCACATACAGTGGTATGAAATATAAATTTTCTTATAAATATATGTACTCCCATAGCTATTAGGGGCATTACTACCGCTGGGGTGTATTGTACTTTTTGGTATTGCTATTCTCTTGGTATAGTCTCTTTTGTTGTTGTTGTTGTTGTTGAGGTTCAATGATATGTGTATGAAAATTTGCAAAATTTTCTGCTGATCCTGGCAGTTTGCAAATAAATTAATAAGATTCAAGTTTATTGCGTGAAGGTTTTAAGTAGTAGTGTTAGTTGTTGTTGTTGTTTGTCTATAAAATGGCGTTTGCTTTTGTTTTTTGGGCTACTCTTCCTCTTGCTTATGTGTTGCTTGGGTGTTCTTATCAAACTCATTCTCATTGTTGTTATATCTGTTTTTGTTTTTGTTGTTGTTGTTGTTAATAATGTTGTTCATTCTTGTTTTGGCTGTTGGTTGGGTACTTGTGGTATGTTAAAACCATTATTGCCAATTATTTTCATGGGCATACATTAAAATTTATTACTTTTCAATGTATGCGTGTGCGTATGTGAGTTGAGCCGTTATTTGCGGTAGTAAAGTGTCAGCAAATATTGCTTTTATTTGTTTTGCATAACTTTTTGTTTTAAAAAAAAAGTACATAAAAATTTTTATGGTTTGCATGTAGTAAATTTTTACGAGAATTTGTCGAAATTTTCTTATATTGCCAGCAATTTATTAAGTTATTTTCAACACTTTCTGACACTTAAGGCAGTCTTAAGTGTGTGAAATGCTTGCGTGTGAGAGAATAAGGTAGGTAGGCAGAATTTGCTGACTCTGAAAGGTTCTTTGAGTTCATAAAGTATGTCATATACTTACCCTTCCCATTTATTAGGCTTACACTTGATGAGATATTCAAAATGTAAAATTTTGTGAGAAAAGTGAGTTAATCAGCTAATTTAAAATTTTCTTTCAGATAGGTGGTATAAGGAATTTTTATCAAATTATAATTTTCATTTAAAAACTTTTTATTGAAATCTTTTCTATAAGATATTTAAATGGAATTTAGTAGTTTTTTAGTTAGTAGTAGATTTTTTTTATGGTGGTATTATATTTTTGTCCTTCTAGGTAAAACATAAGAGGGAATGTTAAAACTAGGCTAGTCAAGAGCTTTTGTTATTTTAAATTTGATTTTGTGATGGCAATAGGCAACAAGTCATACTATGATAGCTCTGTATTTACTAACTCTTGTTCTATTGTTCTCTTTTAAGTTACAGCTAGTGCAATAATATTCGAAGATTTTCGTGAATTTCTAAATTAATTTTCTTTAAAGTCATGGTTAGTGCATCGAGTTTCGAAGATGCTGTGACTCCACAGCTCGCGTTTTATTAGCGTTTCAAGACTTGAAAGTGTTTATAAATTTCTTCTCGACTCTCGTTTAATTTTCTTTGCGGCCACAGCTAGTACATCGAGACTCAAAAATTTTTGCAAATTCTTGGGCAGCGTTTTATTGTTAACTATTAAATCTTAGCTTTCGCATCGAGACTTGCTGTTTCTTGTGAATTTTTCCCCAGTTCACGTTTTATTGGTCTATCTTAAGTCATGGCTAGTGTATAGAGATTTAAAATTTCTTGTGAATCTTACTACAGAGTCTGTCCACAATATAATTGTTCACTACTCTGAGAATGTGCGTTTACGTATATTTTATATATATTCGAATAGTTGGAATTATTATGTTATGTTGAGCCTTTTCTGAGTTAGTGCATCTGGGCATTTTTCCTCTATGATGGCTGGGAGGGTTTCTGCACAGTTCGATATTAGATTAGCTTTCGGCCAGTAAATGTCGCCTAAAGTAAGTAAAAACACAAATGTGAGTTGGTAAGGATTTGGGCTCAGTATTTTCGAGTACTGGTTTTTAAATACGTTGAGCAAGAAAGAAAAAGCTAAAGCTAATATTATCTCAGCATTTTCGCCTTTGGCCAAAAACTTCGACACAACCAACGCTGTGTGAGCCGGTGCGTTATCGTGATGTAAAATCCATAAGTTTTCCTTCCATAAATCTGGCCTCTTTTTACGAATGGCCTTACGCAAACGACGCATAACGGCAAAATAATAACCGTCCGGAAAGAAGAAGAAAACAGTCAGCATAACCTTGATTTTGGACCGACTTTGGCGTTCTCTTTTCGGTTTTCACTCACCTTCGAAGCACCATTCGGTCGATGTCTCATCACAAGTTATGATGCGTTCGATGAATATGGGGTCACTATCTGGGTTGGAAATCATCTCTTTGACCACATCACAACGACGCTTTTGTTAATTCAGAATTTGAATTCAAATTCAAAAATCGCCACACGAAAATTTTTTGACTTCTTTGTATAGACACCGATTAGATAAGCGCGGGAATTCAAATAAAGAACGAATAAGTTCTTTTTTGATCGCAAGGTATAAAGGTAAATAGTACAAAAAAATTTCTTAAAATGAAAAAAAAAAACTAATAACTCAAAAGAAGAAGTAAAATATCGATAGTTAATTTCAAATACTGAGATATACCATACAGTACGACAATATTCAGTAGAGGTAGGGATCTTAAAAGCAATACCGGGTTTATTAGTGTAGAGGTATTAACTAATCATACTCACTGGTGCTGAAAGTACCACTGTTGGCGTATTAATTATAGATCATGATTCAACTATGTATGTGTGATGTTGTTCAACTGATTCTATGCTATTCTCAATTTAGAAATTACTATTATGTTTGCGTTAATCAATGCAAAGGAATTAAGGAATTAAAGGAATTAAAAATTGCAATCGAGGGGGTCAACTTCCATTCACTGCAACTAATTAGCTACAAAAAATAATACCCCCAAGGAAGGGTTCAGTATCGTGCCTCCTGAGTAAGATAGGCATGTTGTAATATGATGCTAAGATCCAGTAGGTACCATTCGATACTATTTGGAGTTTAAATGGTAGTGAATAAGTTTGATGTGAAACTAAAAAACAACAGAGATATTAGATGGGGCTCGGTCCTTCCCAAGGAGGAAACTATCTCTAAACGTGTAGATTTAATTAATACTGGTGAAGTTACTCTTAGAATTCTAAGTGAGTGGTTTATGGTGGCATTATACTCATATGTGTATTAAAACCACCATTGTGATAAGCCATAACTGTAGGTAATCACGTTAAAAAACTATGGAAGCTACCTACAAAATGTCCGTGCCTTTATCATAATTATTTTATTACTTACTTGTGTAATAAACCTGATAAGTAAAAAAATATTGTTTTAATAAAATTAAACCATTGATCATTTTATTTTACTCAGAATTTATATACAATATTTACAGTTACTAATCTACTTCTCATATTCTGCTAAGTATTGTTTTAAAAAATCAAAAATATCAAACATGATTTTCGTCCATTAAACAAGCTTTCACAATACTTAAATTGGTTCCTTACAAGAATTTTCATTTTAATTCTCAGTTTGATAAAATCAAAATAGAATTTCAAACTCAAAGGATTTTATTACCCTGAATGTTGTCTTTGTTTACAAAATACGAGTATTGCTCCTGCTGGTAGTTGTCCCTTTGTGCTTTGCACTCAACCTATTGTCACTTCTATACTTTCAAATTCATTTTAAACTTACCAATTGTTGTTAGCACTGTCAGTGAGTACAGGAAAGCCTTAGCAAAATTCCATTCATGTGGTCTATAATGGCCATACTGATGCAATAAAACTGCCTCTGTGGCTGGACTATTACTACCTGGAGTACCATCGGTGTCATGCGACAGCTGCAGAAATGCATCTTCGTTCAGTCTCTTAATTAATTGGTCTTGAAATTTGGCAATTTCCAAAGCTGCAAGTCTATTGTAGAATTGTTAAATGGAAATAAAAATACAATTTTATATAGAGTTTTGAAGGATGCTAAATAAAATCTTTAAATTATAAAGAGGAAATTATTTCTCTTATAAAACTTTAAAGTAGATGGCTTAAGTTTAATAAACAATATTTTCATAAATAATTCACTTAATATAAAACTTCGGCGTATTGTATACAATATAACGTACATATACTTGTATCGCTATTATCTATATATAATTACGCTAACATAAAAGTTTGTTACCCCGTTTTAACTGTGTTGCCGTTGACATATATGGATAAAATTTATACCGTTGGAAAGGTGAAGACGTGCAGAAGAGCACAATGTTATTTTTTCGCATGTACGTTAACGGAAACACAGGTAAAAATGCGTTGGCGTAAATTTAGCGACTACAACAACAAAATACATGTGTTTTTCAAAGTTTTTTTTTGTGACGAATTGTTAATTGTTTACGGTGGATTTGTGTGTGCGATTTTTTTCCACTTTTGGAAAAAAGTGGACTTTGTGTGTTTGGACTTTGTGTGTTTGGACTTTGTGGATTCTGTTACAATCAGATTTTTAAAGCTCATTAAATTTCAAATATTGTTTGTGAATAAAAAAAACGCATTGAAGTGGAAATATCCTTTGATATGAATCGTTTTATTTGCATTGTGTGATAGTTAAATTTTAATTGTGATAAATTTTAATTTTGATAAATTTTAATTGTGATATATTTTAATTGTGAAATGTGGATAGTTAAGGTTAATGAGTTTGAAATTTTTAGATTTATTTCAAGTGTATTGTGTGATAGTTAAATTTTAATTGTGATGAATTTTAATTGTGAATTGTGTGATAGTTAAGGTTAATTAATTGGTTGAATCGACATTAACAACACTTCAATTCGAGAGATATTCATTTTGTACAATGAAAGAACATTATGATAGAGTATGCAATGCACAAAAAGAGATTTGTATGGCAATTATCGTGAATCGTGATACAGATATACGAAGATATAATATTTACGACTATAGATGGTGAACCACCATTTCAGAGAAATATGATATCTTTTTTAAAAACAAATGGTGTAGTTAAGAATGTATTAGTATTAGATTCTGCTTTAGAACCATTGGCATATCCTTTACTATTCCCAAATGGAGATTTTGGTTGGCACGTTAATATATCGCATAACGTGCAACATAATTCTAATGGTAGGCAGATTCGAAATAAAGTTACAATGTTACAATTTGCATGCTTCAGATTTGCAATAAGGGATCAATTTAGCTTTTTGCATAAATCGCAAAAACTATTTTTGCAATACATTGTTGATATGTATGTGAGAATAGAAGTATGTCGACTACATTTTATAAGACAGAATCAAGTAAATTTGAGGGCAGATGTGTATAACAATATTAGTGATTATTTGCAAACGAATCAAGTAGGAGATGGTAGCTTAGGTCGTAAAGTGATTTTGTCTTCATCCTTCACTGGGTCTCCGAGAAACATGTATCAAAATTACTTAGATGCAATGTCAATTGTTCAGTACTTCGGCAAGCCATCGCTTTTTGTTACAATGACTTGCAATCAGAATTGGGCGGAAATTGTATATAATATTGATCCTAATGAATCATCTCATTTCAGGCCTGAAATAGTTGTGCGTGTATTTAAATCGAAGTTAAAAGAACTCATTTCTGACATTTGGAATAAATATATTTTTGGCAAAGTTGAGGCTCTTATATATACAATCGAATTTCAAAAAAGAGGTTTGCCTCATGCTCACATTTTGATAACTTTATGTGAAAATGACAAAATTGTCGGGCCGGCTGATATTGATAAAATAGTTTGTGCAGAGATACCGGATAAAAATTTGCAGCCAAAATTACATGAATTTGTTGTCAAACACATGATGCACGGTCCTTGCGGTGTTTTGAATCCAAGCTCTGTATGTATGCAAGATGGAAAATATTCAAAACAATTTCCAAAGGATTTTGTGCAATTAACGAAAGAATCAGTTAATGGTTATCCGTTGTATAGACGGCGCGATAATAATGTTTCCGTTGATGTTAGAGGAAAGTCTCTAGATAATCGTTATGTCGTTCCATACAACCCGTATTTGTTTGCAAAATATAATTGTCACATTAATGTCGAGGTGTGCACTTCCGTCAAAAGTATTAAGTACATATATAAATATGTATATAAGGGTTTTGATAGTGCAACTGTTTTAATTCAAAGTGAAAGCACAAACGAAAATGACTAACAAGTACAAGTTGAAGTAGATGACGTTAGAAATTTTTTGAATGGTCGATATGTGGGATCAACTGAGGCTATGTGGCGAATATATGAATTTCCTATGCATTTTCAGTCTCATATTATAATTCGTCTTCACATTCATTTGACACAAAGACAAAATATTATATTTCGCGAAGACCAAGAAAGACAAGCAGTAGAAAATCCTAAGCTTACGAAGCTATTAGCTTTCTTTCAATTGAATTAAAGTGATTCATCTGCTAATCAATATACGTATATAGAAATTTCATTGCATTATGTTTGGATTGATAGTAGAAAATCTTGGCAAAAAAGACAACGAGGAGGAGATAAAATTATTACTCGGATGTATATGGTGTTTCCCAAAGAAATTGAGCAATTCCATTTAAGATTACTTTTGTTGCATGTAAAAGGGCCAAAATCATATGAAGATGTGCGTACATTCAATGGAATTGTTTATAGGACATTTATCGAATCATGCTAGGGGAATTGCGTCCAATTATAACAAGTGGAGAGTTTCTCTCAATGAAGCTAAGACATTTAACTCAGGAAAACAAATGCGTAATTTGTTTGCGATTAATTGTGGCTTCAATATTCCAGCAAATGCATTAGCGCTTTGGGTGGAATTTAGAGATCATTTAAGCGAAGATTTCGTTAGAGATGGTTGTAGTGTAGATGTTTCTTTTAATAGAGTATTATTGGAAATCGAGGATATTTTGTTAACACATAATGTTACATGTACGTCACTTGGTTTGCCTACACCTACAATAATGCCAGAATTTGCTGATCTCGATATTTTTGATCCTTTCGTAGAAGAATGTTTATTTAATGAGCTTTATGATTGCGCAAATAATGAACAGCGTGATACTATTGATAAAGTTATTCGTGAAGTTCAGTATTACGATACAGGATCAAATGTGTTTTGTTTGACATCCCATGCAGGTTGTGGGAAAACATTCACACAAACGGCTATAATTCGTAAATTAAATTCCCTTAATCTTCGCTGTATTTCGTGTGCATTTAGTGGTATTGCTGCGAGTCAAAGCAATGCATAATAACACAATAGATTGTGAAGTACTCACTGGAGTTGCTCGCGGAAAACGTGTTTTGATTCCACGCATACACTTGACGTATTCAGGGACTGCACTGCCATTTAATTTTCAAAGAACACAGTTTCCACAGTCATCAGCGCATTTGCTATGACAATTAACAAATCCCAAGGACAGACATTTGATAGAGTTGGAATATTGTTGAGGAGACCTGTTTTTTCGCATGGTCAACTTTACGTTGCAGCCAGTTGAGTTAGATCATTTGACGGACTTAAATTTTATGTCAGTAATGAAGGTGGACAAGGTCATTTGGCTAATGATGAAAGGGTTTTTACAAAAAATATTGTTTACACTGAAGTTTTGAGAACTTCGTGATATAAAATATAGAATTATTATTATGCATTATTATCATTTTAGATTTCATTCAGTTTGAATGTTTTTCAATATTTAATTTTTTTCATTTGTTCATTTGCCAATTTCATTTCTTTGTTTCTTGCCTTCACTGCATACCGCGATTTGATTTCGTGATGGCAGAGTATAGGAATTTGTTTGATAATTAACACGGGAGCGAGATGTTGTGCAAAGTCGCATTGTCGAAATTATGCAATAAATTGACGCAATAAATTGCGTCAGAATTTCGAATTTCTTTAGAAGAAGGTGCTGTTCTACAAAATTGCTGATTCCTATACTGATAACTTTCCGATATCACCTGAAGAACAAATGTACGGAGCAGATGTTAAGATAATTTATTTGTTGAAAAGATTTCAAAATGGAGCATCAGTTCGAAATTTTATCGGTATTTCATTCAAACAATTCATCATATTTCATATTTTATACTAATTATTTTCTTTTTTCGCAGGTGCATATGTGGTCACATATGACGACAAATTTAAATTAAACGATTTGATTGGATTGATAATACAAGGAAGAATTAAGCCAAAACCAGAAACACAACAAATAATTTTGCACGAGATGAAATTATAAATTATAATTTATTTTTTAAATTGTTTTCTACAACTTTCTTTAGATTTTGTTCATATTTTAATCAAATTCATCAATAAAATTTAAATACTATTAAAATAAATAAATTGTATTTTCTATTGGTCGAATTTCGACCACTGGCGACCCTAGTGCATAATAATAATTCTATATTTTATATCACGAAGTTCTCAAAACTTCAGTGTAAACAATATTTTTTGTAAAAACCCTTTCATCATTAGCCAAATGACCTTGTCCACCTTCATTACTGACATAAAAT